CTCTGATATGATATCTGGAACACCTACTAAGTAAGAAAGAGTATACTAAGTACTTCGACCTTCCATATCGACATCAGCAGAAACCTTCTGGCTATCAAGACACTGAGGCATAATCGAAATATAGTACCGCAATTGTTGAAAGATCACGAGTTGTTTCAGTGAATGAAAACACATTCTTCAATTTTCAGTCTTTGGAAAAAACACAAAGAGACTCAATTAAATTTCTGGGAGACTAAAATGGATTGAAAAAACTAAATACCTTCTTTATGATCAAGTGTAGATCAACTGCCTTATTTCACTAATGGGTTTTGATGTTGAAGAACATTGAAAGAGCTTGGCCTGGATGGATTTATCAGAAGGAGGCTTTGTGGAGATTTTAGTAATTCCCATGGTTGGAATCATGAGTCAATTGAAGCTAGACCACCATAGAAAACCTGGAAGCACTGGATGGCTGTTTTGTCCTAGTGTGGGACTCCTCAACAGTGCGCATCCACGATCCCACCTCACAAGATTTGAACACAGGACCTACCAATCTCGTGCACGAACGCTTAACCTATTGACCACTGAGGCGACCGACATCCGACGGTGTTAACGTCTAACTTCAAACAATCCATTAAATTCAGAGGGAATGTTGATCACTAAGATCGAATACAAGTCTCAGCATTACGAAGCATACAGTAAGCGAAATTTTGTTTTCACTCAATTAGTTATCCACCATTCCTGTTGTAAGGAATTAGTTCATTATTGTGATAGTTATCTCTCAGAAGTCTCTTGAAGCTGGTTATTGGACGAACCATGGTATCATCTATAAATGCGTAGAAGACTAAATAGACTACTATTATGAAGAGTGGTGACTGAAATGAGTGTCCACTTCGGTAAGCGCACCTTAGAGGGTTGTTTCATGTGGCCCTACAAAATCCCTCGAGTTCAGCTATTCTATTGGATTTCTTGTTGTGGTGTAAACCTGCCTTATGTGGCTTGCTGACAACAGACCCTGCTGGCATGGACAACCTACAGTAGGTTTACCCTCAAACCCTGTGACACATTCTTCATCAGGGGTGTAAATGCGATATCTAGAGTAAGCAATCATAGAAAGTTATGTTTGGTAACTTTATAAGGTGCTTAGAAAAGTAGTTTTGAAGGGCCTGTGAAATGTCATTGGGTCTTAGCCAAATCATCGAGCTGTCGGGACAAAAAAGATAATCCATGTTAGGTACTGACAGCGAGGTGTGACTTCGAAGTTAGTTGGTTCCTCACACCATTCAGGTTTAACTGAAGTAGGCCCCCACGCATTCGACACAGATAATTAACGTTAATGACCTACAGCTTGGTATTTGTAAGTGTTGAGGCTTAGATCGTCATTTACAGTTCACGTCTCTGGCAGATTTGGATCTCTTTGAAGTGTTCCCCGATTTCTACTTTGACACTTATCTACATGAATGCCTACTATCAGCAAGTCTTGTAACTCGGTTACAAGTGCTGCGGACATTATTTATTATAAAATGATGCAGACCCAAAATTTACAAGCACGTGAGCGAGCAGCACGCGAACGAGTAGCAAGCAATCACATAGGCAATTAATAGTCAAATTTAATAGGGGCACAGCAAAACAAAACAAAAGCTGATAATAGGATTTGCGTGCATAAATATATGAAGAAGGATACTTAAGCCATCAACATTTTGACCAGAGTGTCATGTGCTCTAGTGGTCATACAGTACAGATAATATGCAAAAAAGGGCTTAAACAAAAAAACCGTAATCGAAACTAATTACAAGATGGTTGCCATAAGTAATTACAGATTCGACAGGACGATTCAAAGTTCACATTACCGTTTCAATATATTTGTAGATGTTTTGTGTTCACGTTTCCGAAGTGCAACTTTTCCAGCAAAAGAAATAATACTGGCCATGGATGTTGCAAGCCAGGCTTTCTTACATGGAGCAAGACATAATGTTAATAAGCGTGGGTGGCGATCAAAGGAAAGAGTGAGCTAAATGCACTTTAGATATATGATTCAATGCCGTTTTCTGTTTTTTATATTAGCTTGTGATGAACATTTATACCGAAATAATTATATCTTGTTCATCTGATTTTCAGCTCGTTTCGCAAGTGTTAGCAGACGTCACTGTAAGTTTTTTATTCAGAATACATCATTGTTAAACCATTTGTACATAATCAGTCTTTTACATGGCATTTTGGATTTGTAAGTTGCATGAGTGTTATGACATTTGCTTGTTTACTGAAGAGTAAATTTACTTTTTGTAGAACATTGTGAATGAATGTTCAACATCAAGCTAATGTACTTATCCAAACTACATGATCGGTTGTTAAGAATTGGAAAAAGTTATGTATTACTGGATAATTTCTAATTCATTAAACTTTAACAAACATTTCCACGTATAACCCATCGGTATTTTATTTACAGCAATCCTGATTAATCGTGACAAAGCAGTTCTTGTCATAAATTATGGTTAAATTGTTTTGGAATTGGGTTCCTATTTCAAAGTTAACTGACACAAATGGAATAGATGAGTGGAAACCTTTGGAAACTTATTATTAAATTGTCAGGCTTTTCTGTGATATCGGTGAAATCCTCAAAGTTCTGGAGGAATTTCGGGGTTTTCGTGCGATTTCTCCATATTCATGAGCCAATTAAAGCTAGACCATCATCAAAAACCTGGAAGCAATGGACGGCCGTTTCGTCCCATCGTGGCACTCCCCACCATTGCACATCCACAATCCTGTCTCACGAGATTCCAGCACAGGACCTACCAATCTCGCACATGAGCGCCTAACCTCTAGACCAATGAACCTTCCGGCATCCAACGGTGGTAATGTCTAACTTCAACCAATCAACGAAACTGAGCAACCATCCACCGTTGTCTTCAGTGAGTTGCTATCTCACAACAGGTAACTCATGATTTCAACTGTAAAATTATTTTTCTGTTGGGTGTGAGGTATTATACTACAGTGATTTCGGACTAATCATTTACTTATGTTTAATAATCACTTGCAAAATTATATAGCAGAAGTTGTTGTAAATTGAAATTCTGAGGTAGCTCAACGTAAATTTTCATAACAAATTCATCATTAGTGTTGCATCAACAATTCTCATCATATCCTGATCTTTCTCACCTTATAAGTAGGCCATTTCCTTATATAAAAGTATGCTATGGATACTGCATCATATAAACATTGTATCACAATCAGTCATCATTAAGTCATAGCACCAATCAATAGGAGATAAAATTACCCCACGCTTATCAACAAACAGTATGGTCATATCTATTCCAAGTTACATGAAGTAGGAAAACTGATGTGTGGGCGAGAATGATAATGATTAGTTGTCTGCTTAGTCAGAACTGTAGATAGTCTGATAGGTGTCAGATGAGTTATACATTCCCCTATCCTTATCATTTATTATTATTGATTGTCTGTTTGTTGTTGGATTGCGTCGAGTTTTGATGTGGAAATATATTTACTTTCTAGTCGCGCTAATTACGTGTTCTTGATTTGAGTTGTGTTGAAGTCCTGTAGAGTAGACGACACTGGGAGAGAATATAATGTAGATATCCATCTGAGGCAAATTAATGCCTCATTCGCGTATACAAAGAAAGTAACTGTTATTACAAAAACAAATTATAGTTGAAATTATGAATCAATTGAGGCTAGACCACCATGGAAAACCTAGAAGCACTGGACAGCTGTTTAGTCCTATTGTGGGATTCCTCGTGAATGCGCACTTTTCAGGAGTCTCACAATTGGACGAGACAGCCGTGCATTACCTCCAGGTTCTCCATGTTGGTTCAGCTTTAATTGATTCATGATTTCAACTAAAAGAATTGATAAAATCTCAACAAAACCCCCTTCTGATAATAATCATATGTTTACTAGTAACTGGCGTCAAGAGATATGTCTTGGAGTTTTAATGAGAAACAGTGACCAGTGGAGTACAACCAGATCAATTTTGAGATAGTGAAAACAAAGATGGATGTGTCACTCAACTTCGTGGATTGGTTGAAGTTAGACATTAACACCATTGGATGCTAGCCGTCTCAATGGTTTAGAAGTTAAGCGCTTGCGCGTAACACTGATAGGTTTTGGGTTGGAATTTCGTGAGGTGGGATTGTAGATGCGCACTGATGAAAAGTCACACAATAGGATGAAACGGTAGTTCAGTGCTTCCATCTATAAGAATCACTAAATTCTCCACAAAACCCCCTTCTGATAAAAACAAAGTATACAAAGCATATAATGAAAACATTAAAATAATATCAAGTTCACCTTTTACATTTCTCAAATATTCGTTACAATCAATATAAGAATTTATAATACAAACGCAATGACACTGTTAATGATAAAGAGTTTCTTATTTGAACAAAAAAAGCAGGAAATAACTCTTTAGGAAAAAACGGGGGGGGGAATACATCTACAACATTTGAAAAATATCACAGTACTTTTGATCAATTGAATTTTATATTACAAATATCAAGAAAGAAGAGATAATTCTCCGTTTGTTTTATTTATTATAGAAGAGGATAAACCAACTTCCAGTAGAAAAAGAACTTCAGAAAAGATCTTGGAAGTGAATAGAATATACATTTCATAAATCATCAAACTATATCATGAAGTAAGCATTGAATTGGGAATCCTGATTAGGAAAAGAAAAAGCGGGGGGGGGTAAAGTCAAAGAATATACTACATCAATAATTGAAAGTAAATATCAAAAAGATAAAATAGTAACTGGGAATAACTGGGAAAGATTGTCCAGGATAGAATTAGATGAAGAATGTTGATGAGTGGCTTATAGCTCCTCTATGAAGGGTAACAGATGTAAGTAAGTAAGTAAGTCAGTATGTTTGTATAGACAATTTACAAAATGAAATTACAATCGTCTTTGAAGTAAAATATATAAAAAAAAGAAAAAAAAAACCTCTAGACAAATAAACCAATCAAATAAAGATCATTAAACAATTTTTTGTTTTTTTTGGGGAAAACGTTCACCTGTCTACCATTAAATGTTGTAGTTGAAAGACAAAACTACGTGCCAATTCTAATAGTGTGACACAATCATGTTGTTCTGTTAATTCTGAAAAAAGCAATGAAAAAACAAACAAACATAGTTATTGGTGTGCAAAGATGGATTGTGGGTAGCAGTGGAGTCCAGGACAAGGCGCGTTTCGTTCTATTTGGGACTCGTCAGCTGTGTGTACCTTCATCTCAGAGTTGATGTTCACTCTGAGACTCGAACCCAATACTTTTCGTTACAGACGCCATCGCGTTACCCACCCAGCCACTGAGTCCTGATATCTACTTGTTTGTGCAATGGGTCGAAGTTGAAATTTACTTAGTATTGTTTGTTTGGATCTTCTCATTGATGTTTTTTGGACTGCAACTGGTAAGTCTCTAATAACATCAATGGGAAGATCCAAACAAAAAATACCAAGTAAATTTAAACAAAGTTATTGTTGGTAATCTGTTGGTCATAACCGAAACAGTCTGGTACGAATGTAGATTAGCCAAAATTGACATGATCATATCAAAAGGATGAAGTGAAACAAACAAGATAAACATCAAATGAATTAAGTTAATATGATAACAATGTTCAAGTCAGTCAGCTATGACGTACAACCAGGCACATATATGCATCTGTTAAAACTAAAAGACCACCAAGATCATTTTTATCGCATTTGCGAAATTTTCATTTTTCCGACTTTCCAGACCCTGAGTTAGGGGTAGTATCCCCTCGGTTCAAGTTACAATACCTAATTAGTACAACAAGATGAACACCAAATTCATAGAAGTAGTTAGTTTAGTGGTGGTAATATATAAAAGAAAGGCTGTATATAAGGATATAGTATAGAAAGGAAGAAAGTTATGAAGCAATTTTAATCTCAAGGTTTAAGGGAAGATAGACAGTGTATACACCTACGCCATTGTGATCGATTCTGAGCCATGCCACACAGAGTCGCCAACCATTGGTTATGATAGTCTCGCAGATCCCAACCGAGTAGTCTGCATCTACCAACATGGCTCAGACTAGAAGTTATTGACTCCAAGCACTGATTACACGTTTTGGTTTGGCAGCCCCTAACTTTCTTCCAACCATTCCCGACACTAGTAAGCATAGCGCTTCATGGTAATCGGTGTTCAGGCATACGTAACACGTGGCCCAACTATCTCAGATGATGAAGGTTAATGACCTCATCAACTGATTTAGCATCATTCCCTATTATCATATGTCTAACCTCACTATTATTTACCCGGTGATCCTAGCAGATGCGAGCAATATTGCTAAGGCATCTGTCGTCAAATGCTAGTAACTTACGAGTATCTTCAATTCGTAACAATGGTAATTAAAAACGACTGAAATTGAAAAAGTGATTGGAGTATAGGAAACGAAATATTTATACATAGGGATAATGGAGTTTAAGATTTAGAAGATAAATAAAGGACCTGTGATAATGTGATCTATTCTCAACTATTTTACCCATCGACTGCAAGTACCGGTAGAGGTTATCACATGAATCCCAATTTAAGTAGTTTGGATCCACAAACATGGTTCAGATTAGTGATCATTGAATTTATAGAGTGATGTTATGTCTTAGTTTGACTGCCCCAGTTTTTTTCTGTTTTACCACACCAGCTAACATCTTCTATCAAGGTAGTCAGTGGTTTGTCATAGGTTGTACAAATTGCAATCACTTCTGTCGATAAAGATTTACAACCTTATCAACTAACTTGTCATCTTTTGCCTGTTGCCCTATTCTTTTTTTTAATTTATTTCCCTTGCTACTTTTTGTGTTTCACATTGCACTACTTGATAATTAGTCAGTAGTCTGAGTTATATTCAAACATTTTATAAACTGTCATAACGAAAAACTCATGCTTATAATTTGCCTTGACATTTGCAGCTTTATTTGTCTCTTATGTCATCCTTTGTGTGTCGTATTCTTTGGAACTTTGTCCATCTTCAACGGATTATTTCTATTTAAAACTTAGCATCCAAGCCATTTTCAGTATCTGTTGATGTTCTTCGATGGAATGATCGCCTGGTTTTCTGACTTATAGTGACGCTATCTATTTGACCGTAATTTCGACAACATAATCGGAGTTTGGAAGCCTTAAAGTTCAAAGTTTAGAAAGTATAAGTGTTAATTTTTTTTCATCTTATAGGTCCATACATGTAGAGAGATTGGAATCTTCAAAATCTTGTTTCTGTATCAGTAACACAAAAGTATGACGGTTAATACACGATGAATAATCTGAAGCCTTCTCCATTATAATCAAGTGATTTAATTGAAGTGTCATTTTTAAAAGTAATCACTGCTATAGTAAGTCAGCGTTGACGAATTCTCTATATTGAATGTATGAGACAGTGACTTTCTGAGCCATTTCTAAACTCCCATAATCTTTGATATTTAGAGTGCGAAAGCGGAGACTGTAATCTCAAAAGAAGTTTATATACAAAAAACAAAAATGAGTATCCACAGAAATACAAATGACTTTCTGTGAGGACGGTCTACAGTTGAACTTGAGGAAGCACTAAGAAACCCAGAAGGATCCGAACACATTCCATCCAATCAGCTTTTAGTAGAATATTACAGAATCACTACATGTAGCTTCCCTATCGGACTATGCTAATAACCCTCTGTGTGTGGATTGGATAACTTTAATGATGATTTCGCTCCTATTAAAAACTATTAATACCTGACAGCTTTTTACCATAATTGACACTGTGTTGAGAATAACATTCCTTCCATTTGTCTTCTGATTTTGAGACTTGAAAGGGTTCTAGCGTTCGAGTGCTTAATTATTACGCGACATACTAAGAATCCAGGTTTGAGAGATAACACTTTCGAATTAAGTAAAAGCAGGCTCCTGGATATCATAATTCGTCGATTTCTGCATTTTTTTTTAAGATGCTACCATATACACTACTTTAAGAAAAGTAACATTTAATATTTCCATGGAATTTCAGAAAATTTGTTAGACGATTGTTTTACAACTTGTTGCCTGGATGCCATGTTAACGTGATGATACCACCAATTAGAGAACAATGATTTATCGATCGGACAAATGATACAAGAAATCCGTACGAGCAGTCTAGAGTACCTGTCGGTCCAACTAGCTGCCTAGCCCAGTCAGTTAAATCCAGACACCAATATCAACCTCTGCAGTATAAATCATTATTCTCAAACATACTGGGTTTATATACCAAACAGACAGACCACATCGTACCATAAAATAGAAAATAACATTTGTACAAGACTCAGTCCAAAGTGGCTATGAATGTGGGAGGTAGTAACCAATAGACTAGGTATAACTCAAGAATGGTAAATCATATAATAACAGTCTATAGGTCAAAATAAAGCTCATAATAAGGGGGACACCAATAAGAGCAGTTTAGTTACGTAACAATTATATAATAGGAAATATACGTATCATATTGGTCCATAAACGGATTCAAAAGTTACCATTCATTATTCTTATGGGGACATAACAGATTTCTAAACCTCTTGTAATAGTATCCAACAATTTGAAGAACATAATATAGTGGACAAGAACACCCGCGGAGACAATCAAATTTATTTCCATACAATATTACAGAGAATATCTTGATGAAATCTAAGAACCATACAGTAGATAGTTCATCAATAAAATATTGATTATCAGAAGGGGTTTTGTGAAGATTTAGTATTTTTCATAGTAGAAAGCATGAGTCAATTGAAGCTAGACCACCATGGAAAACCTGGAAACAGTGGACGGCCGTTTCGTCCCATTATGAGACTCCTCAGCAGCGCGCATCTATTTAGCTTCAATTGACTCATGCTTTCTACTATCAAAAATACTAAATCTCCACAAAACCCCTTCTGATAATTAATATAATCATATGCTTACTAGTGACTTCGAGAAGTATATCTAGGAGCTCTAGTGAGAAGCAGTGACCAGTGAAGTTCAAAACCACGTCTGTTGTGAGATAGGAACTCACTGAAGGCAATTGGTGAATGGTTGCTCAACTTCGTGGATCAGTTGAAGTTAGACATCAACACCGTTGGATGCCAGCTCAGTGGTCTATCGGTTAAGGGCTTCGGCTCGAGACTGGTATGTACTGGGTTCGAATCTCGCGAGTGCGGGTTCGAGGTTGCGCACTGCTGAGGAGTCCTATAATAGGACGATACGGCCGTCCAGTGTTTCCAGGTTTTCCATGGTGGTCTAGCTTCAATTGATTCACGCTTTCAACTATGAAAAATAAAATATTCATCAATTGTCTCAGACTTCGCTTCTCCTTCATTTCCATATCAATCACTCTCTGTTCTTAATCTTTTCTCTTCCATTTCCTCTCAAACATTCTAATTTCAATTGGATAATACATACTACTTATATCTATCAACATATCAGTAGCTTACACACACACACACACACCATAATCATACAATTCAAATTAATAACTTACCATTATAAAATCGTATAATTTCTGTTATATCCATATTATAATAAATGATAATATCACGATAATATTCAATTAATGCTAAAGCGAAAAATATTCCAAAATCATAAGTGACTAATTGACGTGATGCCCATATTGTTTCCCATACTGGAAAGATATCATTATATTGCAATTCTAATAATACAAAAACAAACAAACAAACAAAGAATTACTACTAATATTTAGGGTTATAAGTAGTATATTGATCATAGATAGATGCAAGTAAACAACAACAAGTGAATCCAAACTTCATCCCATTGCACAAGCAGGTGACTATCAAGACTCATTAGCTGAGTGGATAACACGATGGCGTTTGATGTGAACGGTGGTGGGTTCGAGTGAACATCAACTCCGAGATACAGGTACATCGAGCTGATGAGTCCCAGATAGGACGAAACGCAAGTCCTGGATTCCACTGCTAGCCAATGTCCATCTGTGCTTATTGAACAGTCACTATTAATATTTAGGTTTATAAGTAGTATATTGATCATAAATAGATATTAGTTGAAGATATTTATAAAAATCTAGTGGGAATCTAGAGAGCTGTTTCTTTATAATAATGAGATATCACAGCAGAGCGTAACCAGAATTTCCAAATTTTGTAGTGAGCACTTAATCTTTTAAACAATTATATATGGTTGAAGTCATGAATCTATTGAAGCTAGACGAACATGGAAATCCTAGAAGCACTAGACGGTCGTTTCGTCCTATTGTGGAACTCCTCATGATTCCAACTATATAAAATTACTAGAATCTCCACAAAACCCCCCTCTGATAATGATCATATGTTCACTAGTGACTGTCTTCAAGAGGTATTACCTAGAGTTCTAGTGAGAAGCAGTGACCAGTGGAGTTCAAACAGGTCGATTGTGAGATATCAACTCATTGAAGACAATGATGGGTGTATCGCTCAACTTCGTGGATTGGTTTAAGTTAGACATTAACAGAGTTGGATGCCGGCCGGCGGTCTCAGTGGTCTAGAGGTTAAGTTCTAGCGTGCGAAACTGATAGGTCGTGGGTTGGAATCTCGTGAGGCGGGATCGTAGATGTGCACTGCTGAGGAGTCCCACAATAGTTAGACATTACAAGTTTGATTTTGTTAACAAGAGAATATGAGAATGTCATCTTGAAGTAAGTCACTAGTAAGAAGGAGATTATCATTTAGACGAAGTGATTTTATAGAGATTATTTTAATTTGTAAGTGGATTGATCTTATTTGAGTTTGAATGATATCAAAAGTTAAAATATATGATATGCTAATCTTGAGTGCTGCTGAATATGACATTTTAATGACTCTCACTAGCTGATGACTAATAAGAATCTGTTTATTTATATATTTGAACACATAAATATTGATACACCGAATACAAATGCTCCACACAAGTCACTTGATTTGTGTATGGGCTGTGATATTGCCCGAGTGCCAATGCTGAAGCAGGTGGTTTACTCAGGGGGTCACGCCCAGAGCGTTTAACCTAAAGATCTGATCCACAAGGCAATGGAGCATCGTGAGGAGATGCATTTCCATGGTAGCCGGTGACCAACGATTAGTTCATTCGCCATTTGTTTCCTTGGGATTCCGGAGCCCACGTTCATCATTGGTTTGGAATGAGGGTTTTCCAACTTTCCTACTTGGATCCTCTATATTCACCAACCCGGTTAAAGCACCGGAAATTCGCTTTTTGTCTTCTCAATTTCGTAAACAACGCTTCAGCAGCGAGAAGGCAGTGATCAGGACTTCCCTATTAGTGGTTGTGTACGCGTGGCCATGTAAGAGTATTTTGAGAAGGAGAGCTTACTCTCCCCATCTTCGGTCGTAACCGGACATTTAGGAACTAGGCAGTCGAGCCTGCTACAAGTCTGTCAATAAGATAGTGACAACAGTTTAGTGTATATGGTAGTTTTCTATATTATGAAAGTCTATCGAATTTTTTGGTAAAAAATTTCATTGATTTAAGAGATGACCAGTATATATTTGATCAATTTATTTAGTAATGGTTACTGTAATAAACGATTTCCAATATTTTCAGAATATTTAGTGTAAATCTGCTGTAAGATTCATTGGATGATATTATAAGATCAGAAACTGAGATCCATTGAAATGATCCAGATTAGTATTAGGGAATAGACTTTGAAGTTTTTACTCATAAAAGAACACATTATCACGGTCTCAATTGACTTGGTGGTGTGACAAAGTCTTATCGCGTTAGATTTACGTTACGGTTGATATTGAAATGAGTTTTAAACAAAAGTTCAACCAGGGGAGTTGGAAAACCCTGATTCCAAACCAATGGTGCACATGAGCTCCAGTATCATGTGGAAACAAATTTCGTATGAACCAATCGTCAGTCACCGATTACCATGGGACTGCATCTCCTGATGTTACTCCACTGCCTTATGGATCAGACCATTAAGTCGAAGGTTCGGGGTGTGTCCCCCTAAGTAAACCGCCTGCTTCAGTTTGGGCACCTGGTCAGTATCACAGCCCAAACACAAATCAAGTGACTTGTGTGGTGCATTTGTATTCGGTGCCCGTTTGCATCAATATTTATGTGTTTAAATAAATAATTAATATAAAAATCAATGGTAGATCCTCATAGTTCTGTTTTATTTCCTTATATTAAAATAATCAAGTTAAGAATCTAGGTAACTATTGAAAAGTGAATATTTTACAATAGTCGTTGTACTTAAGCATAAGATCACTGAAAGTTTGAAAATGTTGGCTATTGAGAAAGTGGCATTTCTTTTATGCTGGTTGTCTGAGGGAAAAAACTCACTTCCATCACACCTCCAAATAGTTATCGGCAGGACTTCGCCCTCTAACCTTGGATTTGCTGCTTTTAGTTTGACCACTGTTCAACCAACTTGCCCAGAATATTAAGACCTTGATAAACGATTGTTCCAGTCAGTATAGCCCGATTAGTTCATCATGATAGGCATACCTGACCATCATATCAAAGTAGTAGCAATGACCAGATTGCTAATTAGCATTCGCCCATCACAGCGAATTTGGAATGTTGAAAGAAATTACCCTCTTAGTTAGGTTTAGATCTGATATTACTAATACTTGGTACAATGTTCGTGTGCATTTCATTAAAATAAACAGTTCTAGGCTACTTGAAAAAAGTACACTGATGAACCAAACTGACAGTGATTTAGGAAAAAAGCATATATATATATATATACAGACAAGTATACATTATCTTCAGTATCTACCTCGTTTAAAGTCTAATAATAACCAACGATATGAAAACAATAACTGTCCTTCTGGCACCTTTTTAACTAAATGATGATTCATTTCTGGATCAAAGATCTAAAATAAAGTAAACAGAACAATTCATTAGAAGCTTCATTTTGAAGTTGAAACCAACACACAGTTGATGTATAGTTTATGAAAGTAAATATGACTGACCAAAAATAACAATCCGCTGTATCTGTCAGTTTCCATTCCTCATTCTTAGAGGATGTCTGTGATCATTTCTGGTAGCTCTCTGACGACTTTTACAGTATGCAACCTTAACGTACATTATTTTAACTTCAATGGAACTGATAATCACGAATGACAAAATGCTGCTGACGTGATAAGACCGCCAATTAAAGAACAGTGATTTATCGATCGGACCCGTGACACGGAAACCGTATGAGCAGTATAGAGTACTTGTCGGTCCTGCTGTCTGCCTAACCTAGCCAAATAAGTGCAGAACACTAATCTCAGCCTTTGCAAAATATGAATCATTAATGTGTTTATATATCAAGAATATATACCAGAAAGTGAAAGTGAATTACTACAGTGGAGCATTTAATCACAAGTTTATGAATAGATCGATTTATAGGGAAAACATTGACCTTTAAGACGATGAACTCTAGGTTCAATTTTCAATGTCAACATCAATACTATGATGGAGGTGCATCCACTTGACCGGTTCCAAATAAGACAAAAAATGTCCATTCTGGATTTCATTGCTTGTTACATATCAAATATAATAAGCCTTGATTACTGCTTATGACTGCTGCGGTATTTTTGTAGTGACATATATTTTATGATTAAATTTTGATCTGGTTAAGAGTTTTTAGATGATTCATCATTGGATCATTTACAATGGAATGAAGGCATTCACTTTCTCTTCACAATACTGAGGCTTTTTATTCTCTTTATGATTAGTTTACCAACACAGCCGTACTGACAGGAAGAATAAAAAATTTGGATCATAATATATTAGCTTGTGCCAAATCCTTAGCTGTTTATAACTTAGTAATTAACTTTAGTTTCATCAGTTCTTCAACATTGGAAATGTACTTAGTGGTAAGGATACATTTGTTGAATTCATTGATTTATTGGTGAGACTAAAATTTATGGACGACGTTTGAGCAACCTTACATTGACCTTGATAATGTCTAATTACTGACTGAATTATAAATTGGTATGAGGAATTGGGATTAGCATTTACAACTGTACGTTAAAAATGGGAGTTAGATTTAAAGTTTTTATCATGAAGTGACATCAGATCTTATGACAAAGTGATATTTAGCCAAATGGACAGATGAGTTTCGTGCCAAAATCCAAGACCAGTCATTTTAGATCTGATTGGTTCGTCTATAAATGTTGGTTTAGCTGTTTTATAGAGCGATTGGGAACTTTTCTGAATTCAATGATAATAGTACTCTCTTTGTCCAATTGAAACAACAATAATTATGCAATGATTCTTTGTAGGAATCGTAATCATTTGTGGGTATAGATAGAGTGGATGATTAGGTCGATCTACACCACTCGGGTTGTTACTCACGTTAGTTCATCGAAAAAATCCTATGATTCTGGAGACATGACGAGGACATATGAGTCGGGTTTCGCCTCAACATGTTCAGTTACAGTAAACATTACTCAGCGTAAACTATCCCAATATTACAACACAAATCCCATCTAATAAGTATTAACCCGTGAATTTAAAAAAAAACATAAGTAGAAAAAGTCTCTATTCAGTAATTAGAACCCATTTATATGTTTACGATCAGTCTTATACTAATGGCATATCCTTTCATTGACAAATGTATTTGGATGTGTTGTATGACTATCATGGTAATCGTTAGTCGTTTCTTCAAAGGAAAGGAGAGAGGAGGAATACATGCGATACACCGTGATGATATTTTTCTAAATATCTTAGTAATTAGATTCCCCATAAGTTGTAAATATTTTGTAAAAGCGCTTAACTGCACGCGGCTAGCAGATAGAATTAGTCTATTAAAACCAACTCAAAATTCATGGTAATAGATTGATATTTGAAAAAATTGGCGGCAAAGATGTTCCAGAAGGCTACTAATCAATTAGATATATGTCAGTGTGGGTTTGTGTAGACTGTTGAAATCCGTTGAAATCACGAACTGATCAAAATTAGTCAAATATGAAAAAAAACTGGAAGCACTGAATGGTCTTTTTGTCCTAGTATGTGATTCCATAGGGGTTCATATCCACGATTCAAACACAAAGGGAAACCGGACTGTTGACTTTCTGTCTCCATCTACCGACACAGAACTATTAGATCATTGAGATGTTATCGAGTGGTATACAAGTCTAAGTTTAGTCGGTCCTAAATATTGTATAACCATCTTTGATTATCTTCGGTGGGTATCCTCCAGAACTTTCTTCTCAAAGCTAGTCATTGACAAGGCCTAATAACTTGTGTCTTATTACCGCTTAAAAGTTTGAAGATACAGACTAGGACGAAAAGACTGTTCAATGCTTCCATGTTTTCAATAAATGTCATAACTACTCTTCACATATGTGTTAAATTTTATGACAATACCATAAATTTATAAAATAATGAAAACAAAAATCACAATTTCAGAAGGGGTTTTTGTGGATATGATAGTAATTTTAATAGTTAAGATCATGAACCATTGAAGCTAGACCAACATAGAAAACTGAAATCACTGGATACCCGTTTCGTCCTATTGTGGGACTCCTTACCAGTGCGCATCCACGATCCCGCTTCACAAGATTCCAACCTAAAAACTATTATTCTCGCGCTCGAGCGCTTAACCTCTAGACCACTGATCCGGTCGGCATCCAACAGTTTTAATGTCTAACTTCAACCAATCCATGAAATTGAGCAACCATTCACCAATGTCTTTAGTGAGTTACTATCTCACAACAGACCTGGTTGAACTCAACTGGTCACTGCTTCTTACTGGAACTCTAGGAAATACCTCTTGAAGTTAGTCACCAGTGATTATTTGTTGATTAATATCAGAAAATATTTTTATGGATATTATTACTAATTTTTAATAGTTGACATCATGAATCAAACTTACTTCTATTAATGATTGAAGAAAAGAAAATCTTATATCCATACATGGTATTGATAACTCATTAGAATTTAATAATAATTTATCATATGGTGAAATGATTCTATTTGAATTTGAATTCTGATATGATTGTTCAATTGTTTCATCTATTACATCCGTAACGTTCTGTGACAATGTGGACGATGATGTTGATGACAATGCTGTCGCTGCTGCTGATGATGATCGTGAAGGTGATGAGGATGGTGATGCGGATGGTGATGGAGATGATGATGATGTTTCTTTGAGTTTATTTGTACAACGCAATGTATTCGTATCATAATGTAGTTGTTTTGAATAATTATTATTATGATTAGTAGTATCTATAGTATTATCTTTACTATGCATTGTAATAGTCCGACGACGTGCTGCATTCACAGCCATTTGTAATAAAGTAGTACGTCTAATTGTATGATCATTATTATTACTATTATTATTGATTGTTTTCTCTATTGATGATCTACTTAGTAACAATGGTGTTTCCGATGGTGATAATTTCGTTGAAGATGATGATGATGATGATTTGATCAATGGAAAATTTGGTAACATCCATTTCATTAAACAATTAAAACATGCAAATGTTTTATATTCATCTTGTATAATAATTAATATTGGTGCTAATAAATCACACATTCCTTGGATATAACCAATATCAAGATGTAACCATACCCATGTTGATATAATATTACGTAATTTGATTAAATTAGAACTTAAGTCAGTTAAGTTATGAAAGGAAGATTTTGTTTCTTTTTCTAAAAGAAAAAAAGATAAACAACAAGAAGGAAAAGTTAGACATTAACATCATTGGATGCCGGCAGGCCAGTTCAGTCGTCTAGAGGTTAAGCGTTCGAGCGCGGAAACACTGTACGGCCATTTCGTGACTAGTGACTGGCTTCAAGAGATATTTCTTGGAGTTCAAGTGAGAAGCAATGACCAGTGGAGTTTAACCAGGTTTGTTGTAAGATATCAACTCAATGAAGACAATGGCGGATGTGTTGCTCAGTTTCGTGGATTGGTTGAAGTTAGACATTAACACTGTTGGATGCTGGCCGGCCGACTTGAGCGCGAAACTGATAGATCCTGGGTTGGAATGTCGTGAGACGGAATGGTAGATACTCACTGATGAGAAATCCCACAACAGTGCTTCCAGATTTTCAATGTAGGTCTAACTTCAATTGATTCATGATTTAAACTATAAGAATTACCGAAATCCCCAAAAAACCCCCTTCTGAATATTTTCATTAATTAATTATCATAATCATATGCTCAATAGTAACTGACTTGAAGATACATGTCCTGGAGTTCTAGTGGGAAGCAGTGACCAGTGGAGTTCAACCAGGTCTGTTGGGAGATATAAACTAACTGATGACATTGGTGAATCGTTGCTCAATTTCGTGGATTAGTTGAAGATAGACATTAACACCGTTGGATGCCAGCTCAGTGGTCTATTGGTTAAGTCCTCTGGCACGAGACTGGTAGGTTCTGGGTTCGAATCTCGCGAGTGCGGGATCGTGGATGCGCACTGATGAGGAGTCCCATAGTAGGACGAAACAGCCCTTTAGTGCTTCCAGGTTTTCCATGTTGGTCTAGTTTCAATCGACTCATAATTTCAACTTTGAAAAATTAATTATGCACTTAAATGCTCAGTTTTATAGTATAAATACCTTAGATATGTACCAATCATCATAGATTCTTCATAGTACGTTATGGTTATGTAATCATTGTATGGAAGTATTATAATTTCTCTTAATACGACCCAGCTATTCCTATTGTTTAATATTCTTGAACAACAACTCACTTGACAAGTCCTCAAATCAGAACACTGTTGAACAGGAACGAAATTATTTTCCAAATAACAGGCATAGATGGAGGTAAGAAGTAAAATAAGAGAGACGTTGGTATATAGTTTTTATTTGAGAAGATTCTATAATCTTCTTTAAGTATTGCCTAGAGCTGATTGGATAAGAAATAGCCAATCGAAGTGAAGCAACAGAATGGTGCATGGAAAGTGCTTTAATCCAGTCTGTGTTCTACTAACAATAAGTTTATACATTTTTAATCCCTAACGATTAACATTTTATCAGATTGCTGTCCTCTATTGACTGGGTAATAAAGATAAAATGATGTGTATTGTATGAATCCGGATTTCTAGTCAATGTGGACGTTCGTTTGAATTACTAGTTACAAAGAGTGCTGTTAGAGGTATGAGGGCAGTTATCCTTTACCGGTCGTCTACATCGTGGAAGGATTCTTCTAGAGGTACCTAAAAAGTAGATTTGGTTAGGAGTGGTCTTAATGACCTGAGAGCTTGATCGCAGTGCCCAAGGGACAACTACTTGAGGTCGGTCACACACGACCTTTTTGTGGGTAAATTTTGTCTTAGTTCCGTACTTGTTGGGACCTTACCACCGGAGACGGAAATCCGTGGGATAACGCGAGATGTGCATTTTTAGGGTCGACCTTTTCTAACCCCACCTCTCCTCATGGGAAGGCAGCATCGCTGTCACACTGGTTGTCTGAAGGAAACACCTTACTGCCGTCACACCTCTGTACAGTCAGCAGTACGACTTCGCCTTCAGACCTTGGGTTTACTTCTTTTAGTCTTACCACTCTTCAACCGACCTGTCTGGCATGATAGGACCTTGAGGAACGATTGTTCCAGCCAGTATAGCTCGATCGGTTTATCACAATAGACAAACCCCGACCACTACGTCAAGGTAGCAGCAACAGTTGGGTCTGGTCCTACGTTGTAGCTGACTGACTGGTTACAAAGAATGGCATCAACAAACTTGCAGTTAATGAACTCTATAAGTGGGTAACATAAAGATTGAAAGCTACATAAAAAGCTGAAGATCATAACAAAAAACTACTTTTAAACTAAACATAATCTACATAAAACTACTTGTCTAATTATAGAATGATAATGATCATATGCTCACTAGTGACTGGCTTCATGAGGTATTTCCTGGAATTCTAGTAAGAAACAGTAACCAATGGAGTTCAACTAGGTCTGTTGAGAGATATCAACTCACTGAAGACATTAGTGAATGGTTGCTCAATTTCGTTAATGATAGAATGACAAAAACAGATTCAAGGTAAATAGGTACATCGATCTTACTTGGTGTCATAAAGAATTCATGATTTCGATCACATCTTGTAACATCTTTATCAATTCGATATAAATTATCAGCAAATAATTCTAATGTATTTGGCTAAAATAGTATAAAGAAGATAAGAGTTAGGTTGATAGTGAGAGGATGAGGACGTAACAAAGCATTCATAAATATCTAGTTCCAATAGAATAGGAACTTGACTCAACGACTAAATCACACTTGTAAACATGCATTAGATATAACTGTTATTAAGTGAGTACCTACAAAATACAGTTATCTCTGAACTCTGTTCACCTCTTCTGTATAATTCAATCGGCTGAGTATCAGTCAGATCAAAGATCATATTAATTATCTAGTAAGGAATTTAAGATTACTTGACTTCCTTACGCCTGTTACTCCAAATGGAGCATGAGCCGCTGACCAGTATTTTCCAACCCACTCTGTTCTGAGCGTTCCCTTCTAGTTCTATCCAATTGACGTTCATTTTTCTCATATCTGTCTCTATTTCGCGGCGTAATGTTTTAGTTCCAGATGTTCTTCAGTTGTAAATATGCTGCTCTTGCTTTGCCGATCCAGGCTTTTATATCTGCATCAGATCCACTGTGTTCATCAATGATGCTGCCTAGATATTTTAAGGTTTTCACATCCTCTAAAGCTTCTCTGTCAATGTGTGATTTAATTGTTACAAGATGTGTTGTATCGGAGAATCTTGCTTTTCCCTTTAGGTGTGTTGAGACCTACTGCTGCTGAGGCTACTGCTACACTGGTCGTTTTTTTCTGCATTTGTTGTTGTGTGTGCGATAGAAGAGCCGGATCGTCTGCGAAGTCTAAATCGTTCAGTTGCATCCTAGCTGTCCATTGTATCCCATGCTTTCCCTCAAATGTTGAAGTCTTCATGTTCTAGTCGATGACCAGGAGAAAGAGAAAGGGTGAGAGTAAGCAACCTTGCCTAACACCGGTCTTTACCTCGAACGAGTCGGTGAGTTGTCCTCCGTGGACGATTTGGCAGTTTAATCCAGCATAGGAATTCCGTATGATATTGACTATCTTCTCAGGTACGCAATGGTGTCGAAGAAGCCTCCATAGTTTTGTCCTCTTCACGCTATCAAATGCTTTCTCGCAGTCAATGAAGTTGATGTAGAGTGATGAATTCCATTCAATTGATTGTTCCACAATGATCCGTAGAGTTGCGATTTGGTCTGTACACGATCAATCCTTACGGAATCCAGCCTGTTGGTCTCGAAATCGGGCGTCTACGGAGTCCTTCTTTCTATCTAACAATACCCTACTGAAGACTTTTCCTGGTATTGAGAAAAAAGTGATGTCCCTGTAGTTATCACACTTGTTGAGATCGCCTTTCTTTGGTATTTTGATCAGAAATCCTTCTTTCCAGTCTGTTATCACTTGTTCTTCATCCTATATCTTACTGAAGAGAATGTGGAGTTGTTGTTGCTACATCTGCTTTCATTGCCTCTGCTGGAATGTTGTATGGTCCCGATGCTTTGCCACACTTGCTTTGTCTGATGGCCATGCTGATCTCTTCAATTGTTGGTGGGTCAACATCGATTGGGAGGTCCGTGGGTGGTGCTTCGATGTTGGTTGGGTTTAGTGAAGCTGGTCTTTAAAGTTCTTTAAAGTGTTCAACCCACCTCCTTTTCTTGCAGCCTTTTCCACTGTCGTTTAAGATTATGCTAAGTAATATCCTACTGTAGCATGTAATTGCCATTATACTATATTACACTTCATGTTAAGTTTTGTGATAAGGTTTTTTTCCTAGGAAAGTTTTCAAATTCCTGTTTACTAGTCGTACTATAATATAAATCCTAATGTTTGGACGCCAAAAGTCCTATGTGAATGAAAAAGTTCATATTTTCCTCAATGGCACTCACCATTCCTTTGCTGAACACCACTTCTTAATGTTATTATTGTTATATTCTAGTGAAGAGGTAACTACGGGTGACTTCCCGGACCTATTAATGGACGATTATTCTATATATATTCTTATGGTTTAACTATTGACTAGCTAAATTGTTTATATCTATATTCATCTTATTATAAGCTTCATTTTGACTTATAGATTATTATTATACGAATTACTGTCCCTAAATTATAATCAGCTTCTTGATTATTGTCTCCTATGTTCACAGCCACCTTTGGCTTGATCTTCTACAAATATTATTTTCTATTTTATGGTGTGATGCAGTCTGTTTGTCTAGTATATAAACCGAGTATGCATGAAATAAATGATTCGCATAACAGAAGCTGTCATTGGTGTTCTGGACTCAAGTGGAAGGGCTAGATGGACAAAGGACCAATAGGACGCTAGATTACTCATACTAATCGAACGTCATTGGTTTGTCACAGTGTTAAAGTCGTAAAAGTCGTATTTCCATTGGTGGATAATTCACGTGAATAAAAGCCGGATATAGAAACCAATAACGAATAAGGATAACGTCCTTTGATTATTTTGTAAGTCATAACAAATTGGCGACGACCTTGATCAAGTCATAACAATTATGTTTGCCAAAGTCACGGATAAACTATTCATACACATTAGTTCTATAGCGTTCCACTATTCCAGATAGTTTTCCTTTTTCTCTTAGTGTGTGTGTTGAGAAGAAATACGGCTAAACTGTTGTGGTGGTAGTATAGACTAGGCAAGGATAAACTATCAAGTAATGTCCAAACCATTTTTTAATCCTTCATCCTTCTGATATGTTCCTGTATTAACTAAGGGAGGAAGTACAAAGAAAAAAGTTTTCAGAAAAGGAAGCAACTTCTACGAGAGGTTCCAATAGATCACACGTTGTCGCAAAAACTAGTGGTAAGCAAGAAATGAGACAGTAAGCGGTTTCACTTAAGGCAAGTGTTTCATGGATCTGGTCAAGGTGAATTCTCACATATTGTTTCTAGGGTTTCGTGCTACTTGGCACTCGCCAGCAAGGTGTACCTGTAATCTTGAGGGAACTGGTGCTCCGTGACAGATTCGATCCCATGTTACCCAGCTTCACAGTCAGAGACGTTACTACTGAGCTACTCGGACCGCGATCGACCTCTTGGAAGACTGAGATGTAATCACGATTGATCACTCGGTGGTGATCAATGTCATGCGTGTCAAAGAGTTATCTAGAAATAATTTGATGTAGTACTGAATAGAATAAATTCAACAAACATATTCTTATTCTTCAAAGATTGATATAAGTTGTTAGTACTGTGATGTACGCTACCTAGGTCAACAGACATAATTAGTATGTAACTTAAATCAGAAAAAGAAATGCCTGACAACAGAAGGTTAAGAAGATCCAATTCAAGAAAACAAAGATGTAAACAGAGAGTAATTATAATAACAACAGACTTGAAAGAATCAGTAATTACGTAAACGACAACTGATAGAAGATGTGCGAATGAATTATTTAATGTATAGTTTTCATATGTTACGAAGACACTGTAAGTTTGCATTAACTAATAAATTGGTCTTCCCCAATTGATTTCTTTGTTCACTACAGTACCATTGAAAACTAGGGGGACACTGGATATCTGATTCGTCTTATTATAAGATTGATCAGCGATACCACTAGACACCGACTTAGTGCCTTTAAAGGTTTGGAATCCACTGAGTGTCTTGAAGATACTGCGTTCAATCCCTAATGAAATGCGCACTGTTGAGGAGTCAGATATGGAGACGTAACAGTCAAAAGTACTTAGGCTAAAGTCGATCTGTGGTGAATACAACTTACACATTAAACCAATCTCTACAAAAACCGTTTCAATTAAATGAGATTATATTTTAATACAATTAAACTAACCGAAAATTCACATTGACTTTGAGCTGTATTGTTGATAGGCGAATGTGAATCAGTGGAAAGATTTGATATTTTAGATGTAGAAGTTTCATTAGGAAGTGTTGCTGTTGAAGAATCAATATCTGAGGAAGGGAAAGAAAGTTAATGAATGTACTTAAATAACATATTGGAGAAGATAAAGTACACCTATGGGTTCAAAAATGTTTGTAGGCATGACCAAGTATGATCATAGTAATTCCGGTGATGTTCTAATTTCTAAGCCAGAATAATTCATTTTCATTCATCTGACTCATTTACGAAACACAAATTAATATAATCGCATTTGAGGCTTACTTTATAACCGAGACATAGTGAAACTGTAAGCTAGACCAACAATGAAAACCTGGATGAACTGAACAGCCGTTTCATCCTAGTACGAGACTCCATAGCAGTACGCATCCATAAACCCGCACATGGCACCCAAACCCAAAATCTCAGGTTTCAGAGCTCGAACTCTTAACATTTAGACGCCTGAGCTGGCATCCACCGGTGTTAATGTCTAACTTCAACCAATCCACGATATCGCCCAACCATTCACCTGTTGTCTAAGATGGATAACTGTCCCACATTCGACATGGATTGAACTCAAATGGTCACGGCTTCTCACAAAAACTCCAGGAAATCCATCTTGAAGCAAGTCACTAGTGAGTACATAATGATTATTGTTAGGATGGGGGTTCGTGGAGATTGTGGTGATTTCAATGGTTGAATTCATGAGTCGATGTAAGTTAGACCACCATTGAAAATGTGACAACCAAGACCGAAGGTCCTCGGTTCCAGTCCCGCGTGCAGGATCGTGGATACACAATGTCAAGCAATCCTACACTCGGACGAAACGGCAGTCCAACACTTTCAGGTTTTTAATGATGATCTAGCTTAGGTCGACTCATGAATTCAACTATTACCAATTACTACAATCTCCACAAATCCCCATTCTAATAACAATTTGAATTGTTAAGATTTCTATAAAACATTTTCAGTGTCAACTTCAAAATAGAAGAGAGAGTTAAAGAATCGGTTCATGCTGTAGAAAGCAAGAAGACGAGTGGGAACAATCAAATTACAGACTATGTCACTAAAATTTGACAATCCTACAGTAAACAGTTAATTTGCAAACTATTAATCAATTATCTCAATCTTGACCATTTCTTCTTCAAATATCAGTCGACAGTCTCCGATCATTATTGTTCAGGCATTTTCATACCAATTCCGTCCCGTTCCCGTTCTCCCCTTATCAACCTTCTACTGAAATACATCCTCTGCCTTACCATCGTTATATACTACTTATGTGGATATAAGTAGCCCACACCTCAATTTCTTCTAATATATATTATTTTGATAATTATATAACTGGTAGTTTTTCACATGATACCCATCAAAAAATGATGCCAATTATCGACTAATCAGTTATCTATTTAGAAGATATAGTTACATAGATTGCAAAAAATGCCTTGAGTTGATAAGTAAACGTTGATTTCGACATGAATTGTGTTAAATTCAGTGCCTAAAGTTAGTAAGTCTGCTTCTAGAATTTCAGTTACTGACTTCCAACTCCTTCTTACAACTTCTGTATGTCAATAGAGGATAGAAGTGAAATACAAAAGCTTTTTATATTTCTGGGATGTCTCTATTCGATGCTGATTGGGTAGGAGAGTTCCTAACGTCTTCTGGGTTTTTAGAGACCTTAAAGAAGGACATTTTTCGGACTGCGCAACAAAAATACACACTCGTAAGATATTTGCTTGTTCTGATGGCTTTACGACTTGAGATACTAATCGATATAGAGTGTTGAATTCGCCAATCAGAATTTTGATTCTAATTTTGTCGGTTCTAGGTCTAATATTCCATTTATAGAATAGCGTTCTAAACTTGACCAATTATATGTTTTTGCTTGCACTGTTAATTTTGAGCCAAATTAAGCTATACACACACTCCTATAGTTCCATTTTGTACAAACAAATATATTAGACCATATCACATAGTAAAATGAAGATACATAGTTATACAAAAACAATCTAACAGTGACTGTGAACTGTTGGGATGAATTTCGACAAACACGATGAAACTTCCAGAGGCTATGAAGGAGCCAAAGAGTTTCCACTCAATCAGAACATAATGGAGCTTGCTATGATTGGATGATAGCATAGCTTGCCTCCTCGAGGATCGGCTGAATTATAATGATGTTATAGGTAACATTACCATGTTTTCCTGTACATTATTGATTATTACCCGATCATCACTTCTCTTGTTTCTTTTATCTTCTGATTTGTGACTGTGACGTTCTACAAGTTCAAGTACCGTTAGTTAAATATCGTGTACAAATGTTATTTTCTTTTTTATGGTACGATGTGGTCCGTTTATTTGGTATATAAACTCAGTATGTTTGAGAATAATGATTCATATTGCACAGGCTATTAGTGGTGTTGTGGAAATAACTGGCTGGGCTAGGCCGATAGCAAGACTGACAATTGCTCTAGACTGCTCGTACAGGTTTCGTGTATCATTGGTCCGATCAATCAAATCACTGTTTTGATCGATAAATTCGCTGCTCTCTAATAGGCGAGTACAATATAATAACAACTGCTCACGCACACGATATAACAAGAATACGTTTGCACATATGCCAATTACAGACTGACCAGTTGCAGTCCTAAACATCAATCGGAAAATTCAAACAAACAATACTAATTGAATTTAAACTTCACCCCATTGCACAAGCAAGTGGCTATCACGACTCAGTAGCTGATTGGATAACGCGATGGCGTTTGAAGCGAAAGGTACTGGGTTTGAGTCCTACAGTGAACATCAACTCTGAGATCCAGGTACATCCAGCTGATGAGTCCTAAATAGGACTGTTTAATTGTATTGACAAGTGGAATTAATAAAGATAAGTTCCATTTCTTTTTATTCGTATTCAATATACACCATAATACAACTTAGTAAAATAGAACAATGAAAACATATAACGTTTGTACAAATGAAAACCTACCAGCTAAACCACCATCATTGTTTACATGATTCTCTAGTTCTATATTGTTTACTTCATTTGGTTGTTTTGTTGAGTTCTAAAATAGAATATTTAAACAAAAATGATGAAGTAGCATAACATTGACTTGTAGTAGTGTGAAGTCGCAATTGACTATGATCACCACTATAGGAAAACTATGCGCCAGTTACTAGGTTCGATTCCTCCGTTGGCCAAATACCAGAAGGCAGTTGAAGATGGTAGTAAGATGTATTTGTCGACTATCATGTGGTATCGAAATAATACCGAGATCGTATCAAAATCCATAAGCGAGACTAGTAAGAGTACGAGAGTTCATGCAAGGTCATAAACAACGGAAAAGTCTATTTTTAGTAAACTTAAACAAAAGGGCACAGTAAAACAGTCACTGGTACAGTTGGTTATAATAATAATTGTTTCCATTATGCCAATCGCGTTCACTTCATAAAAGTAAGTCACTACAGACTTATCTAAACAAACATGTCAGTTAAAGTGATATATCCCGACGGGAATACTGGATGGTAACTATTGGGATCTATATATGGACTAATACTATACATACATTCTTATTGTGGAATTATTAAGTAACTAAAATATGTATATTCATAGTCCATTTATTATAAGCTTTATTTTGATCCATAAACAATTACTATACGATTTACTGTTCTTGAGTTATGCCCAGTCTATTGCTCACTACCCCCCACATTCACAGCCACTTTGGACTGAGTCTTGTACAAATGCTATTTTCTATTTTGTGGTACGATGTGGTCTGTCTGTTTGGTATATAAACTCAATATGTTTGAAATACATGATTCGTATTGCGGAGGCTGAGATTCGTGTTCTATACTCAATAGACAGGGTTGGGAAGGATGAAGGACCGACAAGGACTCTAGGTTGCACGTACGGGTTTATGCGCCATTGGTCCGGTCGATAGAACACTGTTCTTTAATTGGAAGTATCATTACATTATACACTGATAGGATACAAGGCTACAAGTTATAACACAAAACATACCTTGATTGGATATGCTGGATCAGCTGTTTATTGACTGTTCAAAAATATTGCAATCAATCATTCAGTGTTAGTCTTAATTATGAACTGAATGATTCTTAATAATAACTAATTGTTTTTTTCAAAGTTGAAATCATGAGTCAATTGAAGCCAGACCATCATTGAAAACCTAGAATCACTGAACGGCCGTTTCGTCTTATTATGGGACTTCTCATGATTTCAACTTTGAAAAATACTGAAATCTCCACAAATCCCCTTCTGAACTAATTGTTTGTGATGAAGTTTCATACTCTAAGGTAGATAGTCTAATCGTGGAGCTTCTAGTGTTCTTCTGAATAACATTAAAGACAGAAACTTCAGGTAGAAGTGAGGTAAATTGAATTATATCAAAGTATATGGACAATTGTTGATACATATTAAAATTAAATGATGCTAAGATTTCGGTTAGACGAAATATAAAGAAGGCTAGAGGAGCTTGGAATTTTAGGCCAATCAACGAACAATAGAAATTGACTCAATTTACCAACCAATCAAAATAACAAATGGCAATATAGGATCAAGAATCAGGTTAAAGGATAAGACAATCAAAATAAATATCCAGGTTACAACAGGTCATCAATAAACAATTAAGCCTAAAGTCTACAAGACAAGCTATCTGTCATATGTGGAGAAATTTGAATGACTCACTTCTGTCTGACGTCCCAGTGCTGGTAATGTTGTCCTGATGAGAAAAAAAAGCCCACTAAGACTATCCTATCTGAGCTACAAACCTTCTTTACTAACCAAATGAATTCCCATGTTTTTATTAAACTCTAAGAACCTGTGGTAATGTTAAATGGTGAGATACTCAAACGAAACACAGCAACTGTTTACATGTTTTTATAGTTTATCAGTCAAAGAAGCCATAAGCAATTATACTGGGATTCATGTATCCAGTATATGATAAATGAAAAAAAGTAGTTTCAACAACTAAAATTCTATATGTGATAGCTTGTAGCCTGACTGTCCTGTTTAATATATGACGTGACGATGTCGCCAATCAGAATACTGCAACTTATCGATCGGACCAATGACACACGAATCCCGTACAAGCAGTCTAAAGTGCTTCTAGGTCCTGCTTTCTGTTTAACCCAGCCAGTTAAGTCCGAAACATCAATAACAGCCTCTGCAATATGAATCATTTATTTTGAACATACTGTATTTATATGTTAAATAAACAGACCACATCGTACCATAAAATAGAGAATAACATTTGTACAAGACTCAGTTCAAGGTGGCTGTGAATTAGGGGAACAGTAATTAATAGATTGAGGATAACTGAAGAACGGCAAATCGTATAGTAATAGTCTATGGGTCAAAGCAAAGCTCATAATAAGAGGGATACGAACATGAATAATTTAGTTAGTTAACATCTATCTATCTTATCGGCACATAACACTATGGAACTTTCGTATGTGAGTATGAGTGCCAGGTACCAAATATTGACAACTATGTACGTAATTACAATTTACTTGTATATTTGTCACAGTACTGAATCTTTGGTGCTGCTGATTGCCTATGGTAACAAAATATATGGTATTTTTAAGTATTAATGGACGGTGGCTAGAAGTGGAATCCAGGATGTACATTTCGTCCTACTTAGAGCTCATCAGTTAGATATAAATGGGAAGATTCAACCAACTGATAAATGTAAATCGAAAGTTATAGTATTAATTAAAGTTATTGTCATTATATTGACGCAGTATTCTATGTTTAATGTCGGCATTGTTCACTCTATGGTTTCATCATATGAGAAGAATAATTCAAAGACAAGTATCACTAATGTTTATAGACCGTTTGTTGAGCTATATCACGAATTAATTGACCAAGAGAACTTCAACACAATGGTCTAAATGTCATATCTCCGCCATGAGGTTCTGAAGTCTTTGAACTTTGTGGGAATTACAGAGCAGATGATTTGGAGTTCACTACTCTAGCCATAAAGAAATCCTATTAAGAAATCTATTTTCCCATTTAACTAATGAGTAAATAATAGAAACCCGTGATCACCTAGAAAAATATATGGAACTCATAACAAATATCAACCAACATCAAAGTCACAATATTCAATACAAAACGTCAATACAGTTCTACTTTACGGAGCTGAAACGTGGAGAACTACCACAAGTATCATCAAAAAAGTACAAGTACTTATAAACAATTGTCTGCACAAAATACTCAATATCCGTCGACTGTATACCATCAACAACATCCTACTGTGAAATAGAACAAACCAGCATCCAGCTGAAGAGGAAATCAGGAAAAGACATTGGAAGTGGATAGGACACACATCGAGGAAATCATCAAACTACATCACGAGGCAATCCCTAAGTTGGAATACTGAAGGCAGATAGAATTGAGGGAGATCAAAGAACACATTGCTTCGAGAATCGGAAGCGGACATCGAAAGGATGGATAGCAACTGGAAAGAACTGTAAAGGATTGCCTAGGATAGAGTTATGTGAAGAATGTTGAAGAACGGTTTATGCTCCTCCACGAGGGATAACAGGCATAAGTCATTAAGTAATTAATAATCATTTACCAATGGCAATTCATTATTGACAAGTAGTTTCGTGTCATATAAGCACTCATTAGATTCAGTTGAATCATTTTTAGGTGGAACGATTGCTACGAAATTAGCATATCGAACATCTTGTTTCAAATATAGTACAACACGATTCCATATATTTAAAGCATTGGTATAAATCTCCTTTTGTTGTATATTGACTTCATTCAATTGTTCACTAGTTGAGTTCCATGTATATAAACCCAATAAATATGGCCATACCTATACGTGATAGAATTAAAGGAAAAATATTGTGGATTCAATCAGTAAGTCAGTCAGTTACAACATAGGATCAGGCACATATATGCATCGATCCAAGTTGGCATACCTCATTAGTACAACAAGATGAACACTAAATTCATAGAAGTAGTTACTTCAATGGTAGTAATATATAAAAGATAGGTTGCATATAAGGATATACTATAGGAAGGAAGAAAGTTATGAAGCCATTTTAATCTCAAGGTTTAAGGGAAGATAGACAGTGTATACACCTACGCCATTGTGATCGATTCTGAGCCATGTCACACAGAGTCTCCAACTATTGGTTACGATAGTCACGCGGACCCCAACCAGGTAGTCTGCATCTGCCAACATGGTTCAGACTAGAAGTTAGCGAATTCAAACTCTGATGCCACATTTTTGTTTGGCCGTCCGTAACTTTCTTCTAACAATCACCTACACTAGTCAGCATAGCGCGTCGTGGTAATCGATGTTCAGTCATACGTAACACGTGGCCCAACCATCTCAGTTGATGAAGATTCATGACCTCATCAACTTACTTAGCATCATTCCCTAATATCATGTGTCTAACCTCAATATTACTTACCCGGTGATCCCATCAAATGAGAGCAAGTTTTCTAAAGCATCTGTAATCAAATACTAGTAACTTACAAATATCTCCTACTCTTAGTGGCCGCGTTTCGCAGCCGTCAAGTAGAACAGAACGAACTGCCGCGCAGTATACTCGTCCCTTAATTGATAGACGGATATCTCGCCTTCGCCATTACATAATGATAGATAAATACCCTCTCTACAAAACAACTGAGTGAATCTCTAAATAGTTTTTAATAACCTATAAGTTTCTACTTAAAACAAAGAGTATGACAAAAATATAAATTATTTTGTTTGAGAACATGAATCCATGGATTTAAGACCATCATTGGAAACATGGAAGCCATCGACGACCGTTTTGTATTATCGTGGGACTCTTCAGCAGTGCTCATTCACAATCGTACTCACGGGATTCGAACCCAAGATATTCGGTCTTGGGCGCGAACGCTTAACATCTAGACCACTGGGCCAGCATCCGACGGTGTTAATGTCTAACGTCAAATAATCCAGCTAATTCATGTCAGATAGAGACAGGTATCTACCTCAGCTAAGCGTTTGCGTGAGAGACCGAAGGTTTTGGGCTCGAATCTTGAGAGCGGAATCGTAGATGCGCACTATCGAGGAGTCCCACAACAGAAAGAAACGGCCTTCCAGCGCTTCCAGGTTTTCACTCGTAGTCGAACATCAATCAATTCATAATCTCAATTAAAAACTTAATAATTTCCACAACCCCATACTGATAATTAGTAGTATAATTATTATTTACCTCATTTCTAATTGTTGGATCACAATTACCAAAATAAATATGTCGACAAAGTTCACTGAATGGGATTTGCTATACATAAAAAGAATAGAACAATTTAGAATGTTCAGCATGTGTAAATGTGACATTTTAAACAAAAAAACTATAATTTAATTCATTTTTATATTGGTTGTTTTACTTGCCCCATTGATGCTGAGGAGTGTAATTGATCAGTGTCATATTGACAGTGATTGCTTCAATATTGCCAGTAAGTCGTAAGCATTATAAACAAAGATGGACGGTGGCTAGCAACGGCATCCGAGAAACTCGTTTCGTCCTATTTTTGACTTGTTATCTACATGTACCTGCATCCCAGCGTTGATATTTGCTCCGGGATTCGAATCCAGAACCGTTTGCTTCAAACTGTTCAGTCTTATACATCAAAGGAAGAGTGTGTATATATATCTACAATCCTTCGTCTAATTGGGTTATTGCCAATTCAGTTACGAATCTTGGAACGTTTTCACATATAGACCCATAAGTATACTCCTTATTTGTACCTAAACTAATCTTGAAGGTAGTCACTTTACATGAAGCAAATTCTTGATGAGATTCAATGATGTAAAAGGATATTCAAACAATACAGATCTTCGAATAAAATATTTCAACAAAATTTCTAAATTAACATGATAAACCGCCATATTTATAACATATAGTCTATCATGATCGAACCGTGTTATCACAGTGTAAATTAAGAAGCGATTTCATTTAAACCACTATTAGAATCATGAATCGCTAGATGACCGTTTCGTATTAGTATGGAGATCCTCAACAATGTGCACCCACGATTCCACAGGCGGAAATCGAACCTAGTCTCGCACGTGGACGTTTGACCTCTAGAAAAATGAGCCGGTGCCCGAAATTGTTAGTTTCTAACTTCAGCTAATGCGCGATATTACACAACCTTCAAAAATTACCTTCGGTGGGTAACTATCAAAAACCCGACTAGCATTGAACTCCAATGGTCACAGCTTCTCACTAGAACTTCAGGAGTTACGTCTCGAGGCCAGTCGCTAATGAGCACATGATTATTATTGAGTTGTGTAATTTTTGGAGACTTGAGTTTTCACATTTTAAACTAGCGGTTATTTATTTATTTATTTAAACACATCAATATTGGTACAAATGGGGCACCAGATATATATGCGCCACACAAATCTCATTTGATTTGTGTGAGGACTGTGATACTGCCCGGGTGTCCAAAACGAAACAAGTGGTTTCCTTAGGGGACCACATCCGGAGCCTTTGACCTAAAGATCTGATTCACAAGGCATTGGAGCGTCGTAAGGAGATGCAGTCCCATAGTGACCAACGATTGGTTCATACGCCATTTGTTCCCTCAGGACACTGGAGCCTATGTGCATCATTGGTTTGGAATGAAGGTTTTCCAACTCCCCTAGCTGGATTCTCTACACCCATCAACCCAGTTAAATATCCGGATATTCTCTTTTTGTCCTCTCAATTTCGTAAACAACACCCCAGCCACGAGAAGGCAGCGAGTAGGACTTCCTTGACAGAGGCTATTTACACGTGGCCATATGAAAGCATTTCAAGAGGGAGAGTGGATTGTCCCCACTCTCGGTCGTACCAGGGCATTTGGGGGAATTCACTTTTCCTACTCTGGATTTCGTAAACAACACAATCGCCACGAGAAAGCAGTGGAGGGGGTGTTGTTGTTTTCATCGGTGATCAATCGACGATTCGATCTGTGTAAATTCTATCATCTTCATAAAGATCCTTTATTGAGAATATCATTATATAAGTACAATAAGCTGAATAATTATTTTTAGCAATGACTTACTGGAATAGAATTTGTCATTAATTGATTCCAAAATTCTACAGTTACACCTTCTTCAGCATTTGTTGGTGAATCCACGGTTAAAAAATTAGGTGATACTAGATCAGCTAATTTTTTACGTACTGTACGTAGTTTATTAAAATGATTATACCCTGAAAAGAATATAATAACTATCTAAAACAATGTATATGGAGAAGGTTTGAATCTTGTTTATAGCAATACTTTCTTATCAAATTCATTTATAATAATAGATAAACATTTTGATTTGACAATATGAGGTTGTAAAGATTATTATTTTTCTGATTAAGATCATGAATCAATCAATGTTAGACCATCATTGGAAAACTAGAATCAATGGACAACCGTTTCGTCCTATTGTGAGACTCCCCAGTAGTGCTCATTCACGATCTCACTCTAGAGATTCAAGCTCAAGACCTTCGGCATCGCTCGTGAATGATCAACATCTAGACCGCTGAGCCAGTATCCACCTCGGTACAACGGAAGATGGTTATGCAATATCGTGGGTTGGCTGAGTTTAGATATTAACACCGTTGGATGCCGGATCAGTGGTCTAAATGTTAAGCGTTCGCGCGCCAAACAGAAGGTGCTGGTTTCGAATTCGTCCAGCGAGATCGTAGATGCTCACTTTGAGTTGTATCAGATCATTTACTATACGGTATCAAAGTAACAAGCATTAAAATTGAAATAAAAATAAGCACTTTCAAAACGGGTTTAAAATATTCGTTGCGAAAACTATTACGGATGACTATGTATTGTGAATCGATAAAACTGCTTTATTAAATCGTTTACTGAGTACAGATTAGTATACATAGTTTCAAGCTACACTATGTGATGGTTAGTAACAATATCGAGTTGCTGACAAATAATTAGGTGGAGTAGGGTTCGAATCTGTAACGTTAAATGCCGAAAACCCTAAGCACTGATCCACTACGACAATGTACTTTTTACCGAACAAAAGACATAGTTATCTCAATGGGTGTATACTACCAATTCTGAAATCAACGGTCAACACTTTCAACTTTAATTAATCTGCTCTACGGTATGATGTTCATTCAGTTTCATTGATAGTACGTGGTAATTTCCGACAGTCGTGATAATATCACAAACCTATCTAGAAGTAAGTCAATAGTGGGTACACCAAGTGTACACCAGGAGTGTGACAGTTACCATTTATTGCTACGGATAATGGATTCTGACGAAGTAATCTGAAATTAACCCTTCCGTTCTCAAAACATGTTACTATGAGTTTGATATCTGAAAGAGTTATAGATAGACACCAATGAAGAATAATAGAGAACAAGATAAAAGAAGGCCTTGTCGATTCTCTTTAAGTTTCAGAGATTCTCCACATCATATCAACGCGTAATCACAACGCTCTCCTTATTTAACTTGTCGGTCTTATTAATTTACCTGTCTAGATAAAATGAATAATGTGAGCGGACTCATTACCATAATTTGACTAACAATCCCCACGATTTATTAAACGCGTCTTTATCAAATTTTGTAAAACTCTAAATATTGATTTAAAAAGAGACAGGCAAAGACAATATACTGCTCTATATTGACACACTTTTTTGACTGTGGTCATGTGGTAGATATAGCCAAATCAGTTCTAGTGATCCATCGTATACCTTCTTCATCTCCCAATGGGGTTCGATACCATCTCTTACATATAGCAGAAACTATAGGGATCCTACTCACTGACTTTTCTCAACCGAGGTGTTGTTTACAAAATTGAGAGGGCAAAAAGCGAATAGTTGGCGCCTTAATCAGGTTGGTGGATATGAAGGTTCCACCTAGGCGAGTTGGAAAACCCTCATTCCAAACCAATGGTGCACATAAGCCCAAGTAATACTGAACAAATTAATAATCTGTTATCTTTATTTTATTTAAACACATAAACATTGATACAAGGATGCACCACATAAATCATTCGATTTGAGTGAGAGCTAGAATACTGATCGGGTGCCCAAACCGAAGAAGGTGGTTTCCTTAGGGGGCCACTCCCCAAATCCTGAGTCTAGAGGTCTAATCCATAAAGCAGTGAAACAACGTTTGGTGATGTTGTATCATGGTAGACAGTGACGAACAATAAGTTCATACGCCATTTGTTCCCTTGGGATCCTGGGGCTCATGTGCACCATTGGTTTGGAATGAGGGTTTTTTAACTCGCCTAAATAGATCCTTCATATCCATCAACCCGGTTAAAGCGACGGACATAGTTTTTACTTTTAATGCAAAGTCAAAATCTGACGAAGAATAAAAAACAAACAGCATGGAAACTTACATTTACGAAATACATGTGATAATATTTTAATACGAAATTTATTGAATACATCTTCATGGGTTGATAGTTGGTTCTTCGACTGTACATCAACATCATCTGATTCATTGACAATTTCTTCTGTAATACCTTCTAAAGAGATTCGGTTGGATAATATAGATGATGTGTTGAGATTATTCATTCCCTTAAAAAGATTTTTGAATGGAAGAATGTAGTTGAAACAAATTATCCAGTTGAATTTATGAGTCAATCTAAGCTAAAATACCATTGACAATCTCGATGTACTGGATACTTGTTTCGTCTTAGTATGGAACTCTTCAGCAGTTTACAATATTTCATGGATTTATAAACCTTCATAGTAAGAAAAATTAGACGTCACTGACTTGGCGAAAATTACAATAATCATATGCTCACTAGTGACTGTCTCACAGAGGTACTTCCTGGAGTTCTAGCGAGAAGTAGTGCAGTTCAACCAGATCTGTTGTGAGATAGTAACTCACTGAAGACATTGGTGGATGGTTGCTCAATTTCGTGGACTGGTTGAAATTAGACATGAACACCTTTGGATACAGGTTCAGTGGTCCCGTGGTTAAGCGCTCGAGCGCGAGCAAGGCGGGATCGTGCATGCGCTTTTCTGAGGAGTCCCACAATAAGACGAAACTGCCGTTCAGTGATTGATTTTTTTAAACATTTGATCACAAACAATCTCCATTCACTAATCACCGGACTTATTTCATTGATTACAGTTTGATTAACTTCAGTTTTATCTGAGTTGGTATTAGTAGAAAAAGTATGTCAGGATTGAAATGAGTCCCACAAGATTCCAGTTAACTCAGTGTCATATTACAGTTCAAGTCATTACTACTGAGCCTAATAGGTTGTAACTGTCTTTCTGTAAAACTAGGTAGTTATCAACTTTCATATTATCCATTTTTCGCTTAATACCATGATCAGATTCTAAAGAATATGCTAGCTAGGTAATCCATAAGATCTGACATTGGTTATTGGATCTTTACTGTTTAGTATGATCTGCTAACGTGATCATTCTTTTACCTATGATCAGAAGTTTTTACACTAATAAGAGTATGAGGAAACGAAATTCTACCAAGTATATGAGTAAAACGGAAAAAGATGAATATCAATAAGAGTAAGAATCAATAACAGCGACTGTCAGAAATGCATCCAATTTGTTATTCTTATCACCCTAGTCATGTTATCTCATTCATCTATTGTAACGAATCTAGTTGATCTGCTTAAAGATTACTATGAGGTACTACAATAGTGAGGTTTAAACAATGTGTCTTCTCACTTACCATTACCAACTATCTAAATAAAATATTTGTAACTGGCTTACGTTAAGCAACTGACATATATCTGTCTCAGTGAATACAAGAAAGTTTGAGTATTCTGTAACAAAAGCATCACATCCAACACTAGCGAGAAAAATCTATTTAAACATTTTAGCTACTTATAAATCAAATAGTAGTATAAATATATTTAACAAAACTTGGGGTGTTATAGGCATGAAATCACACATACCATTGTTTGACCATCTCTAGTTTTAGATACAATCTGATAAACATGTTGAACAGGGCATTGTTCCTCTGGTATACAAACATTAGGTGATGTATAAGATGTTTGTAATTCTTCATCATTATTTATATCATCTGTATGATTAAATGCTTTTAATATATTCATATAGATACGTTGTTTCAATCCTGAATTCGTTAATGATTGATTTGACTTAGAAGGTTTATTATAAATGGAAGAGAAGTTTTGAGATGATATTATGGATGGATTTGTTTTATTATCATTATTTGTTGTTGATGTTGATATTGATAGAGGTAATAATGAATTACGGTTTCCAAAAATGAATGGCATTGATGGACGATAAGATTTCATGGAAAAATTTGATGTGACTAGAAGGAAAGTGAAGAAAGAATTGTCTTGTAACAGAAAATATGTACAGAAATCTACAGTACTTGTACAAAAGTCATTGAATAAAAAGTGACCGGGTCGCAGACTTTAACCCTCCACAAAATCGATGTTAGTTTAGGTAACTAGGTTGTACGAATTGCATTCACAAAATACATAAACCTTGACTTGGTTCCGCTCTCAGATAAAATCCTCTTACTGTCCTACTTATAACTCACTCTCTTGATTTATATGCACCTATGTTAATTTCTTCTAATTGAGACTCAATTTCAGATACATCGTTTTAGACATTACAGATTTATTTACGAGGCTAGGTGAGTCAGGATAGCTGCTAAATTTTTAACGTGTAAAATATTAGATTTTATCACGAGTTGATTGTACCACGTTGTTAGTACTGTTAGGCAAGACTTTAATTTATTGACAAGCCAATCAGAAGCGTTTGAGGGATTTCAAGGTCATGGCGCTAATTTCAGTGCCTGATGCTCATGTACGATCGGTTTACAGAGAATTTTAGAGACAACTTGACAATTAAGCGGCTACGATAAATGAGACTTTCAGGAAGTTCCTTTATTTGTGATTGTGGTAATTAAGTGACTTGTAAACCTTGTGCAGACTACCGTGATGTTGTCCATCGATGTAAAATATGTCGAAGGAAGACGTTTGCTAGGATAGGAAACTTTATCGCTCGATCCAGATTGAGCTTTAGGCATATTATAATAATTTCCGCAAACTGTATAATAAAAGCACCAATAACATTGGCTGCAATAATCGTAGATGTTACTGAAGCTTCGGCTGTTCAGTGTTATCAGTGTTGTGGGGACATATCCATAATAAAAAATGATAAGCTTACACAATCGGAGTACACACAAACAATAATGAAACCAAGCGGTCGAGGTTGATAGGGTTTTTGTGACCTTATCTTGGCTCCAGAGACCGATTATTATGCAGCCATATGGATGAGTTCCTCTACCTTATGCATAACGATTTTGGAACCTTTGAACCTTTTTCCAACCTTGACAAGTTTTGCGATCACATAAAGGAAGTGTATCCACTTTAATTATTTGGTTTTGTATAATATATTTCTACTCTATACCGACTGTTTACTGATTGGCTAATATCTCTAAAAGTCATATTAGATTCGTTGAAAAGTCGTCCATAAATTATAGTCTTGCCGAAATAATTTCAATTAACCGTTGAGGACTTCTATAAATGGACAAATATCGCAACTCAGCAATGTGGACGGAAACGTACTAATACATGCTACTTATATGTGTCCACATAGGTAGCGAACACCACAGTATCATGAAGAAGATGGGTTTGTTCAATTCAGAATTTAATCGATGTCATATTTTTAAAAGCTGTTTAATGGTTTAGTAATTTGTAAAACGTTAGACCAAATCACACATAAATGCCGTTTATGTACATTGATTGATTACTGAGTAGTGGTAAACATCATGCTTGAATAGTTCTTTGGGCTGATCGAATTCGATCGATCAAGATTCAATACAGCCACAAGTTTAAAAGACTCTCGACCTCGTACACTATCTTCAAATGTTAGGTGGTTTGAGGATTCAAAGAGGAATTACACTTGAATCTATTGGGGAGCATCGATTCCCTCAATAATGAAGGTAAATCATGCTTTGTACGGATGTCGACTGATACACAACCAAGGCTAAGAATTTCTTCACGAATACTTCCAAAAAACTGTCATCTATATACAAATTAAAAATAATATTCCATTTACCTGATGAAGATGTATCTAATTCAGAAGATGGACTCAAATAACCACCACGTTGTTTTAAACCTTGTTCCAAACAATTTAGAAATGTAAGAACATGACTTTGAGCATAAAAATGAAATGGAGCTAATTGTATTCCATCATTTCGAATCAGTGTTAGCGTATATTGATTGTCTGTAAAAGAAATAAACCATACAAACTACTTTATGGCAGTGAAACATGGACGATAAGAGTAGAGGATATTCGTAGTCTACTAATTTTCGATGATAGGTGTCTTCGAAGCATTGCTCCTATATTCTGGGACCACCGGGTAAGCAATGCAGTTGTTAGAAAACGGGTACTAGGTAAGGATGGCAGATCGATTGATGAAGTAGGGAAACTTCACCAGTTGAGATGGATGGGACACGTGTTACGTAAGCACAACCACCGACTTCCTCAATGTGCAATGTTTAACGGCGTAAGAGTAGGTTGGAAGAAAGCTAGGGGCGGTCAGACCAAAACGTGGTACAAGTCCATGAAGTCACTGACAATTGGACTGAGCCATGTTGGTAGGTGTAGACTACCTGGTTGGGATTCGGGAGATGATAGCAATCAATGGTTAGAGACCTTGAATAACATGACTCAAAATCGTTTGCAATGGCGAACGTGCATCCACTATTTGTGTTCTACCAAATTCTAATCTTCTGAGTTCTTCATGTGACTTTCTTTTTTCTCTTTTCAAATTCATTTCACTGGATTATACTCCTTCAATAACATCTTCAAACCCTAATGTTTCACATAATGCTTATACTCTTACTACTTCTAGCACTATGGAATTTGAATCAACAACTGCATCTCAATGCTAATGTGTTATGGCAACACGTACGTACGTACGACGTTCTACGTTGTGATTGACTGAATAAAGTTAATTGATTTCTAAGGGTAACACAATGTTCATTCTCTGAAATTGGGTAAGCCATCATTTTCAACAGTTTGTACTGACTATCCCTGTTCAAATTGTTAGATGTTTTTGTACGAATTAAATTTATTTTGTGATGAATACACATTCAGATGATGAGTCTCAGAAATGACCAAACAGACGTTTAGAATTCGACCGCTATGTACAATCCTAGTACCTATTGATAGGGGTCGGCACTTAATGATCTTGATTAAATGGTCATCAAAATGTTGAACAGTCAAATATGTAGTTTATTAATATACCTATATTTTATACTGATAAAACTCGTAGTAGCTGGTATCTGTTTCAAGCCCATATAGGCTATTTTAGCCTCCGGATAGACCCATTTATTCATTCTTCTCAAGCCATATTGTAACCTTATCACCTAACCTTATCACCTTATTAACCTTGACTATTTTTATATGATCGTATGTTTGTTAAACGCTTACCCTATCCATCATGTCTTTGTAACTTATTTTTATCTGAACATGTATATTGAGTCACGCTTGGTCAAATTAAGTTGCCTCACTTGCCTTCTTCACCGCACGTCATTTCGTTAAGCTTTACTCTCAACTCTTCGCTTCGTTTCTCTGATTGTCTATATGGATCAATGAGTGTACGAAATCTACGCATTCGACCTTCATTCTCACGTTTGACTTATTTTTATTCCGTTATAAAATGAAGCGATTGAAGATGATAATTAAATGCGGGGATTTGCTGCAAGTATACTTTCATAGCAATCGACATACGAATTTTATAGAGTTAAGATCATGAGTTAGTTGAAGCTAGGCTAACATGGAAAACCTGGAAGCGGCGGAAGGCCATTTCGTACTACTGTGGGATTCTTCGGCAGTGTGCATCCACGATCCCGCCTCATGAGATTCGAACCCAGGATCTACCAGTCTCGAGCCAGAGCACTTAACCGACAGACCACTGAGGCGGCCGGCATCCGACGGTGTTAATGTTTAACTTCAATCGATCCACGAAATTGAGCAACCATTCACCAATGTCATCAGTGAGTTGATATCTCCCAACAGACGTGGTTGAACTTATCTGGTTACTGCTTTTCACTAGAACTCCAGGAATTACTTCATGAAGCCAGTCATTAGTGAGCACATGATCATTATCAGAAGGGGTTTGGTGGATATTTTAGTAATTTTATAGAGTTGAGATCATGAGTCAATTGAAGCTAACATTGATTACGTTGGTTACTTCATCTCTAGTTTAAAAATACAAAAAATACGCATATTATTAAAGAATATTTACGGGATCGTGGATGTGTACTGTTGAGGAGTCCCATACTAGAACGAAACAGATGCCCAATGCTTCTAGGTTTTCAATGGTGGTCTAATATTGATCGATTCATGATCTCAACCAAAACTTAACAATCTCCACAACCTCTATACTGATAAGACAATTAAATATTGAACATACTTACCAAATTCATGATAATGTCCATAAACAACATCTGACATTTTGATTTTAACGGCATAACCCCAGTAAGTTCTAGGAACAAGAAAATTTTATTGAAAAATCAATGAGAGATTAGATAAAGAGAGGATATTCAATGACAATATATTGAATATTTAACTGAAGATGCTTAACATATGATAGAATTCGCTAGATTTGAAAACTGAAAAAATTTACATGGGTTGTTATCATCACATTCGAAGTTTATCAGTTCCATCTGAGGATTGTAGTTCATTGTCTACGTTTTACGAATAACTTACTTACTTACTTACATACGCCTGTTACTCCCAATGGAGCATAGGAGGCCGACCAGCATTCTCCAACCCACTCTGTCCTGGACCATCCTTTCTAGTTCTATCCAATCGATGTTCATTCTTCTCATATCTGTCTCCATTTCTCGGTGTAATGTGTTCTTTGGTACTCCTCTTCTCCTTTGGCCTTGAGGATTACATGTCAGGGCTCGACTTGTGACACAGTTGGGTGCTTCCCTCAATGTGTGTCCTATCCACTATCATCCAGCACTTCTTCCTGATTTATTTCTCCACTGAAATCTGGTTTGTTCTCTCCAACAGTAGAATGTTGCTGATAGTGTCTGGACAATGGATCCGAAGTATTTTGCGTAGACAACTGTTAATAAACACCTGTATCTTCTGGATGATAGATTTCGTAGTTCTCCAGGTTTCCGCCTCATACAGTGGATCTGTGTTGACATTTGTATTGAAAATTTTGATCGTGGTGTTAGAGTAGTTATCAGAATACACTGTCTTCTAAAAGAGATGGATAGTGGCTAGCAGTGTAATCTAGGATGTACATTTCGTCTTGTCTGGGAATGATCAGCTAGCCAACCAGTGGCTGGATTCAGTTAGCTAAGTGAATAATATGATGGTGCTTGAGGCGGACTGTATTGAGTTAGAATTTCGGAATGAACATTAACTCTGGGATGTGAATACATCCATCTGACAAGTCCGAAATAAGACGGAATGCGAGTCCTGTATTCCACTGCTACCTATCAACCATTTGTGCTTATAATGCTTGTAACAATTACAGCTTGTAACACATTACGCCGAGAAATAGAGTCAGATATGAAAAGGATGAATAAACACTGGAAAGAATTGCCCAGGACAGGGTTGGACGGCGAATACTGATAAGCGACCTTTGCTCCTTCACGAGGGGTAACGGGCGTAAGTAAAGTAAGTAAGTAAGTAAGTAACATTAATTAGTAAAACAGATGACTGAATAAAAACGAGTTCAACTTACTCTTTTTCATTTAAATCATCTAAATCCATTCTTGTATCCAGTAATGAATCAGTAGAGAAACAAAATTCTTGATTATGACTATTAGTTAATGTTGATATATTTTGTGGTGTAGTTACAGCTGAATTTGGTGTCCATTTAAGTATAATCAATTTACCACATTCATTATCGATTAAAGATAAATAACCAGGTATTGGATTAGATGAATTAGACTAAAACAAAAGTGAAAAAAAGAGTGACATTTCTTTTATGAGATAGGTGTGCATATTTGGATTGTTAATAGTTATGTAATCTATTTAATACTGGATTTATCTACAGATTTATCTATCTCCGCCAAATGCTCTGGGACGGTCGAAAGTGGGGAGAGTTAGCTCTCCCTCACCAAATGCTTTCACATGGCCACGCATATACAACCTTTTCCATGGAAGTCCTACTCACTGCCTTCTCACACCACAAGTGTTGTTTACAAAATTGAGAGGATGAAAAGCGAATGTCAGGCGCTTTAACCAGGTTGGTGGACACGGAAAGTTCACCTAGGGGAGTTGGAAAACCCTCATTCCAAACCAGTGGTGTACATGGGCTCTAGTATCCTGAGGGAACAAATGGCGTATGAACCAGACGTTGGTCACCGGCTACCATGGGACTGCATCTCCTGACGTTGTTCCACTGCCTTGTGGTTCAAATTTCTAGGTCGAAGGCTCCAGATGTGGTCCTTGAAGAAAACCACCTGCTTCAGTTTTGGCACCTGAGCAGTATCACAGCCCTCACACAAATCAAATGAGATTTGTGTGGCGCATATTTATCTGATGCCCCCTTGTACCTATATTTATGTGTTTAAATAAACTAAATAAAATCAATCTAATACGGATGTTTGCAACATGAGTCAAATCCGAGTGATTTTTGCTTTCAGTTATATCAGTTATTCAACTAGACTTCTTAATTCATACAACTAACGAATGGTTTCTACGCATACAAAAGTATTTTTAAGGTTTCGTATTTTCACACAGATACATAAAAAATTGTGAATAAAGGTTAAACTGAGATACAACTCTCACTATGCTGACATACTGATAGAGACTAACATTAATGAATCTTAAAATCCCTGAGAACAATTTTTAATTAACAAAGATGGATAGTGGCTAGCAGTAGAAGCCAGGACAAAGCGCGTTTCGTCCTATTTGGAACTCGTCAGCTGGATGTACCTGCGTCTCAGAGTTGATGTTCACTCTGGGACTCGAACCAAGTACCCTCGCTTCAAACGCCATCGCGTTATCCACTCGGTCACTGAGTCCTGATAGCCACTTGCTTGTGCGATGTCGTTTGAAGCGAGGGTACTGGGTTCGAGTCCCAGAGTGAACATCAACTCTGAGATGCAGGTACATCCAGCTCACGAGTCCCGAATAGGACGAAACGCGCGTCAAACTGGATTCCACTGCTAGCCACTATCCATCCTTGCTTATCATGCTTGTGAATCAAGGCTATATCGAGGCAATACGCATAGTATGCACATATGCCAATTAGAGACTGACCAGTTGCAGTGCTAACACATCGATGGGAAGATCCAAACAAACAATACTAAGTGAATTTAATCTTTAATTAAATTCTCCTCATTTTCATTAAGTTGAATATGTGACTAACTTTATGTTGTAACTCTTGGAGTTTTAGTAAAGTGCCATGACTAATGGAGTCTGATCCATGTCGAGTGTGAACCAGTTATTCACCTCAGACAACGAATGAAGGGTTGCGCAAGATCTTGGATAGATTGAAGTTAGACATTAACGCAGTTAAATGCCAGCTCAGTTTTGTAGAGGTTAGCCGTCCCTATGTGAAGTTGAAGATCTTGGGTTTGAGTTCTGCGTGTGGGATTGTGGATGTTCACTACTTGGGATACTAGGACGAATCAGCCATTTAGTGTTTCAGGTCTTCAATTGTGGTCTAGATTAGATCAACTCATCAATTAAATTGTGTAAATACTAAAATCTCCACAAGTCCTCATACTGGAAATAGAATGAAGTTGAGTTGATGACAGTTAAGCTATAGGACAATAGTCTAAAACTAACGTACTCGCTGAGAGACTTAAGTTTGATTATTCTTCTTAACGTTATCAATATGAAATATTCCACGGATTAAGATACCCATTTTCAACTGATTTTAATATTTGCTTAAAGCCATAATGAATGTTTAATGATTCAACTACTCTAACAAACAAACAAAAAGAACACTGAGCACAAAAATTTACCGTTTGCATTAATACATTATTCTTTCCATATAATAAACGTGTTCGTAAACTTTGATGCATTGATTCCACATGTTCTTTTGCAGCTAATGCAATATCTTTATTTGATTTCAAATTACGATTTAATTTAGTTGAATTAAATTCATTCATTTGTGGAAGAAATGCACATGAACCAGTTCTCATTGTTCGATTATTTGGCATATCACTCTAAATAAACAAAACAATTTATAGGCATCAAATTATATTACTAATAATTTTTTAAGTAGCTTAAATTATTTAATAAAATTATGTTTATTGAAGAAAGGTCATTAAGGATAAGTCAATGAGTTGGGACAATATAACCTACTTAGTCTCGTATTTCATATTATTATTTTGCCTAACGATTAGGATAGTGCGGTATGACATAGAGTTTGTACAAGGAATATTGTCTGGTTAGTCGATATTAGTGCGTAAAGAAATATATTCTAAATTAGCTGGTGACCGTATAAATTATGATTTCATCCTTATGATTTATTCCCATGAGGATATGAATCGTGGTAGATAGTGGCGGTTGGGAAATCTGTTATGAATATCTAACCAATGCTTACTTTATTCATTGTCACCTAAGATAGGAGGAAAATAGAAGAAAGGAGGAGGTTGTTATATAAAGACCTGGGGTCAGTACAGGAAATCATTAATTGTTGTTGAACTGATGCGTATTGGTAGGTAAGAAGTTTCCATTTGAGGTTAATCTAATCAGTAGATGGGGACTTTAATTAATATGACACAGAATAGATTATAGTAGCGCGAACCCATTAACTCTTTATCTTTCCCGAGAACTTGAGTTTCCTTTCAATCCGTCCTTTTGAACCAATATTCTCCAGCGTTTGAATTTCCTCACTTACAATGCAGTGTAAATATATTACTTTTATGGACGTTTTTTCAAAAGATTTCCATAACGTAATTCTTGGTATAAACCTGTGTCAATGAAGAAATCTTTGAAAACCAAGGGGCATCCAATACATGCTTTGTCATCATTTTAGATGCCTCAAAGGTAAAAAGAATACAGCTCAAGACATAACCCTTTCAGTTTTAAAGAGTTCATCATGACAGACAAAAATAAAATCCTCTCTAGTTTTCAGTGTGATAGTTTGTAAAAAAGATGTATGAAGTTTACGACTTGGTTGTGATGTATTATTCACACCAAATACATGTAACCAAAAACGAGAAGTCATCAATTAAGTGTCGTGTGAGCACATCGTCTATTTAATTACTGGCTCACTACCGGTTCATATTTAGAGGCCTCTTGCTTGAAGATCCGGTCTACCTCTTCCTGTCATCTAGATTCTTCAACAAGTTATCTCTTTCTCTCTTGTTTGTTTTGACACATCGTTATGTCTGTTAATCACAAAACCTATTCAAATGCATTTATGGAATCGCTTACAACCTTTCACTGTACAAGTGACAAAAAATTACAATAAGAGGTATTGTGTTGTCAAGTCCTGAACTGCTAACATCTAACTGGAGATTACAAATTGGCAAAGTGGACTGTCTTCAATTCCTACTACGTATAAACATGTACCGCAATTGTGGTGTAATCACAATTCAAGAATCCTGGTTAAGTGATTTACAAGATGATCGCTCAGTATAATATTTACTGTTTGTGAGAACAATCTATCAATAAAGATACAAGAAATTTAGGCAAGACCATAACTTATGGAAGAGCCAATCAGAAACGTGTGAGGGATTTCAAAGTCACGGCGCCAATTTCAGTACCTGATGGTCACGTGCGATCGGTTCACAGCGAATTTTAGAGAAAACGTGATGACTAAGCGGCTACAACAAATGTAAATATTGAGAAGTTCCCTCATTTGTGACTGTGATAAATAAATGACTTATGGACCTTATTCAGACTATTGTGATGATGTTGCCTTTTGATGCAATATGTCTTGGAGGAAGAAGTATGCTAGAATAGAATTTGTTTAGATCGATCCAGATTGAGACTAAGGCAAATTATAACAATCGTTGCAAACTGGAGAGTAGAAGCACCAGTAACACTGGTCACAGCGGCTGCTACAATATATACGGGTGATTAGAAAGCGTACAGATGCCTACATAAACTTGGTTATGTGCATCGTGTCGTTATCCACGAGCGGCATTTTGTGGACGCAACAACCAGAGTACACACAAACTATATTGAAGCTATGTGGTCGAGTCTGAAAGAGCTTTTGTGACTTGATCGTGGCCCCAAAGGCCTATTATTATAGAGCTATATGGGAGTTTAGAACCTCTGAACCTCTTTCTAAACTTGACACGTTTTTGGACCAAGTAAAAGAAGTGTATCCAGTTTAATTCTTTGGTTTTGTTTAGCATATTTTTACTCAGAAAAAGCCAAAAACATTCTTTTTTCTAGAACATTCCAGATTGTCGACGTGTATCTTCTCCATTAGACAAACCCTAGAAGTCACTGCATACGGCTTGGATGATTATAATAATGACTTCCTTTTTACTAAAAACCATAAATACTCGAATGTTTTGTACTATATTGGACACTGGGATAAGATTCCTTCCCACTAGTCTTTTGTATTCTGACTTGAGATTTGGAGGGTTCAAGCATTCGAGTGCTCAAGTTGTAAGCGGTATCTCAAGAATCTAAGTTCTAGAAATAACAGTTTCATCTGTAGTGTATACCATTTTATGCTGAAAGATATAAGTAGTATGTAACATCAATCAGAAGTGGAATACTTGTCAAAAAAGATTGAACCGAAGAGAACAGAAAAGAATTGGAAGAATCATGAAGGATATAACGGACAACTGATAGAAGATGTCCATATAATACACCTAATGCATGGTTTTCACAATTGACTAAACCACTGTGTGATTCTACATTAAATAATAAATAGGTTATTCCTCACAAAGTATTCGTTCACTACACATCTATTCTGTTGATGGTAGTCATCACAGATTGATCTCATTTAAGTTACAATTGAATAGCTCTAAGAAATAAACAACTGTTTTGTATAAGTGTATAAATTCCCAGTAGTGTGTAATCACAATTCAGCCAGATATTAAACTCAGGATCTCTAAGTCTTATGGTGAGCGCACCTAACAATCATAACCAATGCTCTGGCACCAATTGGGATCGACCTATGAAAGAAACATCAGTATCAGAATAAAATAATTTCTACAGACCGACGGCATCTAGATGTGCAGTGTTATTTGTGTTTCCAACACTTTTAACCTCAAATTCTAGATATACAGCCATAAGCTTGTCTCATAATCTTAATCATCTAACGCTGTATACATCACACATATATGTGATACTTGGAAATATCACGGTCGAATATATACATCGAATCTTGATCAATGCCGATGTTAAATATCTAACAATTCAATCAATTCTCATTACAGCACGACAGGCTTTATAAATTATGGGTGCAGTGGCTAAACTTCAAACATTACGCTTTCTGTCTTAGATCTCTGTAACGTATGTTGAAATACGTCACTAATAAGCTTGCGGTGATATTTCGTCGACATCATAGTTTTGTGGATATTCATAAGATTTAAGGTATATACAGTTGAGGATTGCCACAATAGAACGGAACAGTTGTTCAGTATTTCCTAATTTTCATTGGTATTCCAAAAACAAAATCAATTTATGGTGAAAACCAATAGCGAGTTTGAATAATCCACTCGTGAATGGAGTAAATAATAATGCAAACACAAAAAAATAAACAGGGGTTATTCATGGATTATTTTTAAAAACTTATCAACGATAAAAAAGCAGAATTTGATTGTAGTCAGAAAGGGATTTTGTGGATATTATAGTAATTTAATAGTTGAATTCATGAGTCATTTGAAGCTAGACCAACATGGGAAACTTGTAAGCACTGAACAGCAGTGCGCACTCACTATCTCGCCTCACGAGACTTGAACCCGGGACCAATCGGTCTCTAGACCACTAGACCTGCGTTCGACACTGATAATGTCTACCTTCAACCAATACACGAAATTTAGCAACAAATCCACCATTGTCTTCAGTGAGTTACTATCTCACAACAGACCTAGTTGAACTGCACTGGTTACTGCTTCTCACTAGAACTCCAGGAAATACCTCTTGGAGACAGTCAGAAGGGGGGTTTTGTGAATATAATTGAATTCATGAGACTATGATTAATAGAAAAATTAACTGTTTCAGTTCTACAAATAATCAATTTATTTTAACAAACTACGTTAAAAAACATCAAAATACGCTAGTAATTGTGTATTTTTTTTCATACATCGAAACATGTTCGTACTTGTTTTACCTCTTTTTTCATAACTTACTCATTATCTACATTCAATGATGGTTGATCTACTCATTCAATGTACCGTTTGTTTTTGATTTTGTACTAATGAATTACCATTGACAGTATGTTAATAATAATAGTGGTAATAATAGTAATGATAATAATAGTAATGGTACTAATAGTAGTGAGAGTAATAGTAATGGTAGTAATAATAAAGTACTAGTACATTATACAATCAAATGTCATATATTAATTTTTGAAAAATAAAAAACAATTTTTCTTCCATGTGTACTATTTTCGAGAAAAAAATAATCATAAAATTTGATCAGGAGTGAACAGAAAGCCAAAAGAAAGAATCCATTCTATATTCATTGAAAAGTGAATTCAATCTGGTAAACATACATTAAAGTATGTCAAGTATGATTATTAGTCCTCAAATGTGCCGATATAGTCGATGAGTGAGAAGAGATTGCTGTTCCTCTTCAAGTGCTCTCAAATGGTCAAGCATACATAGCAACAGTCAGAAAAGTTCTGCTCAATGCCTTCTCACAGTAGCGGGGGGTGTTGTTTATGAAATGGAGAGGGCAAAAGGTGAATGTCTGGAGTCTTAACTAGATTGATGTATATGGATGTTTCATCTAGGGGAAATGAAAAACCCTGATTCCAAACCAATGGTTCCCATGAGCTCTAGAATGCTAAGGAAACAAAAGGCGTATCATCCTATTGTTGGTTTTCGACAATCATGGGACTATATATTCCAACGTTGCCCCAACCGCCTTGTGGATTAAATGTGCCTCCAAATGCCCTGGTACGGCCGAGAGTGGGGATGGCCCGCCCTCTCTCTCGAAACGCTCTCACACGACCACGCGTATATAGCCTCTAAAAGGGAAGTCCTACCCATTGCCTTCTCATAGTGGCATTATTGCTGTTAACGAAATTGAGAGGATGAAAAGCGAATGTCCGGCACTTTAACCGGATTAGTGGACACATTGAGTCCAGCTAGGGGAGTCGGAAAACCCTGATTCCAAACCAATGGCGCACATGGACTCCAGTATTTTGAAGGAAAAAATGACGTATGAATCAATCGTTGGTCACCGTCTACCATATGACTGCATCTCCTCACGATGCTCCTCTGCCTTGTTGATCAGACCTTAAGGTCAAAAGCTCGGGGTGTGGCTCCCTAAGAAATCCACCTGCTTCAGTTTGGGCACCTGAGCAGTATCACAGCCCTCACACAAATCAAATGAGATTCGTGTAGAGCACATATATTTGGTGCCTCCTTGTACCAGTGTTTATGTGTTTAAATAAATTACTTGATAATTTCGAATAAATTAATTATTCAGTAAGTTGTCAATAATCAAAAGTCCCACTAAGTAGAGTATCAACAACTAATAGCAAAAAATAGCTACTTATGAGCTACTCCATAATTGTCTAGTAAAACGCATGAGTGTACGACTGATTTAATCACTGAATAGTAATGACCATCACCATGTTTATCTGGTACTTTATTGCTAATCGAATTCTATAGATTAAGATGTGACTTGACATCATATATTAGATGGTTGGAATTCTCCATAAATCATTCATTCTTTCAAGATTACAGTTGAGTTTTGCTTACAAGTATCCAATAGTAATAAACCTGTATCACTAAGAACTTCTTGTTAGCCATCCTCATACCAAAGAACTCCTACAGGAATGGCAGGATTCTCATCCTGTACTCACCCTGGATGGTGAGCAGATTGAAGTAGTTGAGAAGTTCGTGTATCTAGGTAGCTGAATAAGTGCTGATGGTGGCATAAGTGATGAGATCGATGCACGTATAATGAAAGCCAGAGCGGCTTATGCCAATCTGGGCCATCTTTTGCGCCTTCGTGATGTTAGTCTGGCTGTAAAAGGTCGGATCTAAAACGCGTCGGTGAGAGCAGTTTTGCTCTATGATTGTGAAACCTGGCCTCTCCGAGTTGAGGATGTTAAACGACTCTCTGTGTTCAATCAACATTGTCTCCAAAGGATTGCTGACATCCAGTGGCAACACCATGTTAGTAATGCAGAGGTTCGTCATCGTGTGTTCGGGCACAGAGACGATAATTCAATTGGTGTCACCATCTTAAAATACCGACTTCGGCGGCTTGGGCATGTTCCACGAATGTCGTCCCAGGGACTTCCACGTCGTGCATTATTTGCCGACTCTGGGAGTGGTTGGAAAAATTGGAGAGGTGGTCAGTGTATGACATGGTGTCGTGGTATGAAAGAAAGCTGCAAAGGGCTAGCTTATGTTGATCCTTCACGACTCCCTGGCTGGGGTCCGAGAGATGGTAGAACACAGTGGCTGGAGACGTTATCAGATATGGCTCAGAATAGAAGCCAGTGGCGATCCTGTTGTAACCTTCTTTTACTTTCTTCATAAAGAGTGGTTATAATTAATAACTTTGCTACTAAGAACACCGTAAAACTTACTAAATTAATTGATGGAGAACTGCCACGTTTCAACATCCAATTTGATTGACTAGAAGTATTACTCACATTACCAATACGATTATTGACTAATCTATTATTATTATTAGTAGTAGTAGTAGTGATTGTATCATTTGGCATACGTGGATGACAATCCACACTTCCATGATTCGATTCTTTATTAACATTATCATTATCGCTATCGTCGTTTTCATCCATTGAAGAATTCAAAGTGATCGTTGGCATTTGTTTAATATTTCGAATGTTTCCATTGAATAAATCTTCTGAATTTTGTTTAAATAAATGCGAATCATCAGTTTGATCGTGTTGTTCAGTGGATTGATTTGATAATTGTTGACTTATTGGTGGAACATAAGCTAATTGTCTAGACATTAAACCGCTGTAAATACCACGACGTTGTATTAATTCTGAAACTGGTGGATCTGTAAATAAATGATCTGGTGTTCGTGTATGTGAATAATCAATGGTACATGGACCACCTGTTAAAAAATGAAGAAATAAATCTCATGAAGACGAAGAGATGAATAACTAACTAAATTTAGGAATGACTAGAAATGTTTGGCAGTTAGAAAACATCCGATGAATGTTCTGTATAAGTTTAGGAGAATCTGTCAGTAATCAATTTGTTACTTTGTCAGAGATTAGATGTAATAGCCTCGGACATAAGCATTCATTTGGATTGCTGATATCCGAACTTAGCTCTCAAGTAATGAGTTACACACTGGAACCTTATAAAGTCAATTTGGACATCCGATTATTAATGATGGCAGTTAAAGTCTGTCATATTAACGTGTTATTATCAGAAGAGGGTTTTGTGGAGATTTTAGTAATTTTATACTTAAATTCATTAGCCAATTGAGGTAGAGCAAAAAAGGAAAACCTGGAAGCACCGGACAGCTGTTTCATCCTGTTGTGGGACTCCTCAGCAGTCCGCATCCACTATCCCGCCTCACGAAATTCCAACCCAGGACCTATCAGTTTTGCTCACGAACGCTTAAGCACTAGACCTTTGAACCGGCATCCAACAATGGTAATGTCTAACTTCAACCAATACACAAAATTGAGTAACCGTCCACCATTGTCTTCAGTGGGTTACTATCTAAAAATAGACCCGGTTGAACTCCACTGGTCGCTGCTTCTCACTAGAACTCCAGGAAATACCTCTTGGAGACAGTACATTAGTGAGCATATAATGATTATAATCAGAAAGAGATTTTGTGGATATGATAGTAATTTTATTGGTAAAATCATGAGTCATTTGAAGCTAGACCACCATGGGAAAACATGGAAACAGTGGACGGCCGTCCTGCTTTGGAATCTCGAGATACATTCTTATTTATCTGAAGGGGGTTTCGTGGAGATTTTAGTGATTTTATATAGTTGATATCATGAGTCAATTGAAGCTAGACCACCATGGAAAGCCTGGAAGCCCTGGACAGCCATTTCGTTCTATTGTGAGACTCCTCAGTTGTGTGCATCCACGACCCCGACTGGCGAGATTCGAACCCAGGACCTATCAGTCTCGCTCGCCAAAACTTAACACTCTTTTTTGGTCAATATATTGACTTCTTTTAAACAAAAGTAATTTTTCAATAATAGTAAATTGTATTCAGAGGTAAATAATACTCTAAAAATAGAATAAATCAAAGTGTGAACCAATGAGCCAGTATCTACGATTTCGCTCAACTCTTCATCCATTGTCTGAAGTGGTTAACTGTCTCTCAGTTGACTCAGATTGGACTCTACTGTTCATGGTTTCTCATGAGAAGTTTAAGAAAATTCATCTTGAAACTAGTCAGTAGTGAGTATATAGTTGTTATCAGAATGGGAATTTGTGGAGATTGAAGTAGCATCACAGTTAAATTCATGAGTCGATCCAAGCTAGACCACTAATAAATACCTGGAAGGACTGAACGATTGCTTCATCGTGGTAAGGGAGTCCTAAACAGTACACATGCACGAACGGACATACAGGACCTTCGGTCTGGCGTGCAAAAGTAAACCTCTATTCCACTGAGCCAGCATTCAACGATTTTAATGTCCAACTTGGTTCGGCTCCTGAGTGTAGGTTTGTGGATGTACCGTGTCCAATAACGCGGTTAAAGCGCCGGACATTCGCTTTTCGTCATCCAAATTTCTTAAACAATACCCCTGCCACGAGAAGGCAATGAGTAGGACTTCCCTGGGAGTGGCTATATACGCGTGGCCATGTGAGAGCATTTGGAGATGGAGAGCGGACTCTTCCCACTCTCGGCCGTATCAAGGCACTTGGAGGTCATACACTGTCAAAGACTTTTTAGTTAAATATTAATTGATTGAAGGTAATCAGAAGGTAGTTATGAACTTAATTTTAATCTTGTTCAAACTTATACCAATGGTAACATCTCTAAATATGACATTAGATAATGCGTTTCGGAAAATACAAAACAAAAGAACTGTCTAGAACATCTTACTTTTCAATAGGTCTTCTCTAGTTTAGATTCATTACAGACTGATATTTGTCAGGATATATTTTGCACACATAAATCACTAGTATGTTGTTTTATGACAACTACTATTTACAAATTCATCTTTATGAATGTTACAACAAAACTATAATAATATGTCTATTGTTGAATGGCTTTACAAAAAGTTGCCGAACGTTTTAGAGCAAAGTTGTGATGAATGAAGTTCAGGCAATCAATTATCTATTCAGTGAGATTACAATTTATAGATGACCTTTGAGCAGCACTAAATTGACCTTGAAAGTGTCCACCTAATAACTAGGGTCAAATTAGGGTTATGAACCAGTGTGAGGGATTAGAATTATGATTTACAGTTGGTAATTTGGGTTAAGAATTAGAGTTATGGTTATGATCACCAACTGAAATCAGCTAAAATGCCAAAATGTTATTTAGCTAAATGTATTTATAAATTTTATGCCAAAATCAAAGACCTGTTATCGTTAATCTGATTGGTTCTCCTATAAATTATAGGTTCAGCGACTATCGCAATCTCCGGTCAATTTTTGTGTTAGATCCCTAGTTAACTATAGAGGGTGCACACACTACTGAAGAGTTGTATACTAGAAGAAAAAGCATCTGTCTAGTGTTGAATAGCTTTACAAACAAATAACTCAATTGATAACAGTCGGTTACTTGGTCTGGCTTATTTTCTACGAGGTGGGGTTGTCAAATCCATTCTCAACCCTCACCAGTTTACCCGGGCTTAGGACTAGCGGTAACTCTAGAAGATCTATAAGAGGAGTTATCACAGTTGGTAACGAATACTAAATACAAATTTGATTTAAGCTATACAAACCTACGAACGCGGTTAAAGACCTATAACTACTTATGCCAGATACAGTTATCCAGATGAAAAGAAAGTAATGTGAACATGTGACGAATATATCAGTTGATGTCTTCAGAAAAGAATCCAATTTTGATGTTTGTTTGTTTATACTTCTAACATGATGTTTATTACTTAATGAGGTGACACTTTTCTCATATATTTAACCATATATACATGTATACACAAGTGAATAGTGTAATCAGTGATTGACACAATTAGAAAATACTTTTGTTTACTCCTATTGTATCACATTTACGTTGGGAAATCTCTACAGAAATAAACAAACTGCAATTTTCACAAAAGGGGGGTTTATGAAGATTGTAGTAACTTATTATTGTGTGGTGTGGTCTACTTATATCCTTATAAGTAGTATATGGTGATGATCAGGTATAGAATGTATTTTGGCAGAAGATCGATTGTCCCCAGTCATGTTTTGTTCATTACAGTTAAATACATAATTTGATGGAGCTATTTCATGGATTGGTTGAAGTTAAACATTAAGACCGTTGGATGGTTACTCAATGATCTAGAAGTTAAGCGTTCGCGTACTAGATCGAAGGTCCTTAGTTCACATCCCGCGAGCAGGATTGCGGATGCGCACTACTGCTAGGACAAAACGACCGTCCAGTACTTACAGGTTTTACACAGGGTTCTAGCCTTAGTCGACTCATGAATTCAACTATTAAACCGTATTTTGATGTTGAGTATCACAAATTATTCTGTTTTCTTTTTTTTCTATTTTAGGGGACTGTGAAGAATGACTGATTTTCACGTTCTTTATCACAGTTAGAGAACTGTTGAAAACTGTAAAGCACTGAAAGGTTTTTTTGTATTGGTGTGTAATGAATTAGCAATGAGTGGCCAGAACCATACCATACGTCTCTGACTGTTAACCTGGGTGATACGGGATTGAATCCGTCAGGGAGAATCAGTTCCCTTAAAACTACAGCTACACCTTGCTGTCGAGTGCCAAATAGCACGAAACCTAGGTCCAGGGTTTCCTTTCGACTACATCCAACCACCATCTCAGAACAAACGAGAATGGGTGGAGTGTTACTTTAGATACAATTTACATAATTTGATGTACCGCTCTAATTTATAATTACGTACATTTCATATATATATATATATATATATATATATATCTGAGCCTCTAAGCACTTAAGCGGAGCTTGGATGATATACTGAATGCCTCGATATAATAGTTGAAATAGTCTAGAGATGACACCGTTTTCTTTCTGACTGAGGTACAGAAGTGGAGTGGTTTTTAAACCTTCAAATTCCTCATACATTTTAACTTAGAATCTGTCAGCCACTGTGTTAGGCGTTCGAACCCCTACTCGAAAGATCAATAGTATCACTGGTTTTCAAAAACTATATTCAGCCTTAAGATAACTACGTAATACTTATGTCCGATCCTTAATTTAGATGGCAAGTCGCAGTTAACAAGAGATATGATTGATAAATCGACACACATTTAGTAAACATTCTAATCTAGCAAACCTTTCGGTAGGAATTAAAACCATCTGATTTTTATGGCTTAAGTACATTGTGTTTTCGTAATCAGTACTCAGAAGAATGAAATTTTGAATTCATAGCTTTTGTTTGAACGAGTTTCGCTAGGTACAAGCTCAATGACAACTAATGTTTAAAGTACTAAACGTTTAAGAATTTAGTTCAAGGTATCAATGTTCTCTTCGAAGAGTTCATTTCAAGTACCCGTTTGCTTCAAACGCCATCGCATTATCCACATAGCCACTCAGGCCAGATAGTAACTAGCACGTGCAACCGGATGAAGTTTCATTTATTTTTGTATTGGCTGGTTGAATCTTCCCATTGACGTTTAGGACTGAAACTGATCAGTGTGTTATTGGTATACTTGCATCATGTAAACATTTGCTCTATATTGCCTGTAATTCACAAATATTTTGAGTACAGATGAATGATGGTTAGTATTGGAATCCAGGACTCGCGTTTCATCCCATTTTTCGAATTTTCAGCTGGATGTACCTACATCCTGTAGTTGATATTCACTACGACAATCAAATTTAGTACTGTTCACTTCAAACATCATCTTCTTATTCACTTAGCTACTAACTCTAGTTTCCACTGACTTATGCAATGGAATGAATTTGGATTTGAATTTATATATCCATTCATTCCTAATATCTAGAACTTTCTTTCCCTATTCATTCAAGCGTCAAAATTATAATCTGATCCCTGTTCCGAATCCCCCGCCAAATAGATCATGTCAATTAGTAATCAATGACTTCCTGTAACTCTTTTCTTCTTCGATTCAACCCATAGTTATCAATTACCAAACTGATGTTCATTTCATTGTGTCATCTAGATCTTATTCACTTATACATAGTAATCTAAATTGACCATTACTCATCAAGAAGTATATAGAATGATTGCATATTCCATATATTAAAGCACAATAAAGAAGATCATATTTGGGATTCAGACATTGAATAATGTAGAATAACTTACGTAATAGATCACTAATCAATAGCCCATAACATGGATCCGCAATAACAGACCATGGTTCGTAATATTGTCTAAAATCAATAAATATCGAATATGATATTATGGTAATATTGATATTACTTTTTATTTAATTTAAGTAGTAGTTAAAGTCCGTAGAGAGATTTTGAGTAAAATTCTCTTTTAAGAGTTAATATTTTGTAACATGATTGAATGTATTCTATGGTAAACTTTGATTGACTAACTTCGTGTAAGTTGGCACTCGTGCACAACAAGATGTGTGTATAATCTTGAGGGAATTGATGCACCTAGTGAGACTCGAACCTGCGTCATCCAGCTTTACAGTATGAAACGTTATCACGGAGTACATCAAGTAACGATTGATTTCCTGTAGGACTATGATTTTAACAACTGATTGTTTACTGGATAGTGATCAATATCATGTTCATCTAGTTCGAATTTAATTGATTCTGTCTGTACAAAGTGATAACAAAGCCAAGCACAGTGAATCTGAGTTATTTGAATTCAGAAAACAATGTGTTCGGGTGAGATATTTACAATAGTTGGTTGCTTAATAGTATTGAACAACATCAATAATAAGCAACGGGTGTCTAGGCGAAGATCTTATGTCAGTTTATGAAACAATTGACAGATGAATTGAGCCATGTTGGATGGTGTGGACATCTTGATTGAGGTAAGCTAGATAAGTTCAACTAACCAGGTACTGGCAATCATGGAGCACTGGATAGCTTATTTATTTATTTATTTAAACACATAAATATTGGTACAAAGGGGCACTAAATATGTATGCGCCACACAAAACAATGTGAATGGGAAGAGATAATTAGTAAGATGCGTATATAAAAAAGTAAAAGTAATGATGGAGGAAACTGAAATGTACAACCAGAAGAACTCTTCCAGCTAAGGAGGTTATAACAACTCTTTATGAAGAAACTAAAAGAAGGTTATAACAGGATCGCCACTGGCTTCTATTCTGAGCCAAATCTGATAGCGTCTCTAGAAACTGTCTTGCACCGTCTCTTGGACCCCAGCCAGGGAGTCTTGAAGGACCAACAGAAACCAGCCCTTCGCAGCTTTCTATGACACCACTACACCATGTCAAACACTGACCAAAAGAGGCCAGTTTGAACGGCGTACATGGTTTTAGAAAAACTGGTTCAGTATTTGTATTCGGTAGAAGCATTCACTTTCGACCAGACAGTGACTGGAAATCGTTTAGATAGAACAGAGTTTCCACCATGGGCAAGCTGCTACATAAATTGGAAAGTAAGGATACACAAATTAAGAATAAAAGGGAGTGACCAAGCGACGTGAATAATAATAATAATGTACATTGTCTGACTTTTGGTAGGAGCGAGAATAGCATTGTGAGCAGAAAGCGATATTTCATTTGCACGAGGGTTGTGATACTGACTAGGTGCCCAAACCGAAGCAGATGGTTTTCTTAGAGGGCCATAGCCGGAGACTTTGATCTGAAGATCTGATCCACAAGGCAGTGGAGCAAAGTGAGGAGATGCAGTCCCATGGTAGCCGGTGACCAACAATTGGTTCACACGCCATTTGTTCCCTCAGGATACTGGAGACCATATGCACCATTAGTTCGGAATCAGGGTTTTCCAACTCCCCTGGGTGAACTTTCCGTTAGAGAGCCGGACATTCGCTTTTCGTCCTCTCACTTTCGTAAACAACACCCCTGTTGTGAGAAAGCCGTGAGTAGGACTCCTCTGGCAGAGGCTATATACGCGTGGCCATGTGAGAGCATTTCAAGAGGGAGAGCGTACTCTCCTCACTCTCGACCGTACCAGGGAATTTGGGGGGAATCATATAATATGTAAATGATAACTGAATGAGAATGTGCAAATAATATATTTAATGTATGATTTTCAAATTCTACCAAGGTACTTTGTTATTTAGCATAGATTTAGCAATAAACTGGTTTTCCTCACCAAGACTTCGTTCACTATAGTATTATATAAACCTAAGGAAAGCACTTATGAAAATAACATATAACATAACCATTAGATAAGTTAAAGGTTTTAATAGTTTATGCTGGTAGGGTGGTCTATGCTCCTCCACGAGGAGTAACTGGCGTAAGTAAGTCAGTAAGTGAGTAAGCAAATTCAATAGTTTATTAAATAACACACTGGGAAGTATTCAAACAACGAATCATCAACATACAACGTAATGTACATAATGATTTTCTCTACTAGTCATTATCCTTTATGACGAAATACATTCCCGAATTCAAATAGAAGAACGGATGTAAAATATTTTTTGAATGTGACAATATAATTGCATTTTTATTTCTCCAGAAGAGGGGTGATATTATTCAATTTATATATCTTACGGTCAATACGGTATTAGAATCATTCAAGAATATAAGTACAATGTCAAGTACATTATTCAAAGGATAATTTTCATCTTAAATAAAGTTAACTTCCATTAAACATCCTGGATTACTAAATAGACCTTTTGATATAGGACCGGCCGTCTAACACGTCTGATTTAAAATGTAAATTGATTTAAATTCTGACATGGTAGTAATAGATATGGAATCAATAGTTTCAAGAGTAAGTGTTAACAGCGAGTTCGTTAGATCTGGTGTTCTATGCCCGATATGATTGTAAGTGCGCACTATCAAGAATCTCTGGTGAGACTACAGTTTATGGACGAACCAATCAGATATAAGATAACAGGTCATGGATTTTGGCACAAGATTCATTCATCCATTTGTCTAAATAGCGTTTTGGCGTTATAGCTAATGTCATTTCCTGAACAAAATCCTAGATGTAATTCCTAACCCTAACCATCAACTTTAAATCATAATCCTTATACTTCACATTGCTTTATAATCTTCATTTAGCCTTAGTAAGTAAATGAACATTCTCATGGTCACTTAAATGTTGATCAAAGCTTGTCCATAAATTATACATCAATAATTTCCCATTAACCTAACGGAAAAGCTTTGGTGAATGTGGTAACCTTTACATATCTGGGTAGCATTATTGATGAAAACGGTGGAGCAGATACAGATGTAAGGGTGCAGATCGTCAAAGCAAGAGCAGCATATTTACAACTGAAGAACATCTGGAACTCAAAACAACTCTTTGTCAACCAACACCAAGTTCAGAATTTTCAGTACAAATGTCAAGACAGTTCTACTGTATGGAGCGGAGAGTTGGAGAACTACGAAAGCCAACATCCAGAAGATACAAATGTTTATTAACAGTTGTCTATGCAAGATACTTCGGATCTGTTGGCCAGACACTATCAGCAACAAGTTACTGTGGGAGGCAACAAACCAGATTCCAGCGGAGGAAGAAATCAGAAGTAAGCGCTGGAAGTGGATAGGGCACACTTTCTGGAAATCACCCAATCGTGTCACAAGACAAGCCCTCACATGTAATCCTGAAGGTCAAAGGAGAAGAGGAAGACTAAAGAACATATTACGTCGAGAAATGGAGACAGACATGAGAAGAATGAACAAAAGTCGGATAGAACTAGAAAGGAAGGCCCAGGGCAGAGTGGGTTGGAGAATGCTGGTCGGTGGTTTATGCTCCATAGGAGTAACAGGCGTAAGTAAGTAAGTAAGTAATTTCCCATTAATATCAGAAGGGGGTTTTTGTTCATATTATAGTAATTTTATATAGTTGAGATTATGAGTCAATTGAATCTAGACCAATACAAAAGAACTGGAAGCACTGGATGGCGGTTTCATCCCATTGTAGGACTCTTCAGCAGTGCACATCCTTGACCCCGCCTCGCGGCATTTCATTCTTTTTATATGACTCATATGAAACAACCTCCTAATTTAAACAAAATACATAATAAGTAATAAATTAACTTACAATGAATGATCAGCTAAAAATTTAACAATCTTATCTAATACTTTTTCATAAATACTAACACGAATCCAAAAATGTTGAAATACGGTATCGGGACGACTAAAGAGAGAAAACGGAAAAACAACAATTAGAATAAATTTTGATAAATATTTCCTTATGATTCATTATAATTTAAACATTGAATACATAGAAAACAGGGATTTGTGAAGAATTCAATAGTAGTAGTAGTGGCGGTGGTAGTAGTAGTAGTAGTAGTAGTAGCGGTGGTAGTAGTAGTAGTAGTGGCAGTGGTAGTAGTAGTAGTAGTGGTAGTAGTAGTAGCGGCGGTGGTATTAGTAGTGGCGGTGGTGGTAGTAGCAGTAGTCACAGACTGTTGATTTGCACCATATTAGTAGATGAAAACTACTTGGTTAACTTCTGTGCCATAATCACAAGCAGAGATCTCAAATGGCAACGTCAAGAAATCAGTTACAATACCACAAATACACTTACTAGCTGTCTTCAGTTCATTCGATCTTTAGTTTAAAAGCTAAATCATACATTTAATCTTAAGAATCCATTCCTTTTTCTCAAGACGTATTATCTATACCAAATCTTGTTTTATGAAGATTTATAATTCACGTCATATGGTTTGCTTGAATCTTCCCATTGATGTTAAGCCCTGCAATTTATCAGTTCCATTGCTAGCCACTAGCCATCTTTGCTTATAATGCTTGGGAACTAAGGCTATATCGAGGCAATACACATACATATGTCAATAAGAGACTGATCAATTGTATGTCTCTTACACTACCGGAGATTAATCAATTCTCTAAACTTATTTCTAATATTTAGATATTTTATTATCGAACCGAAATAGCTCGACTTTTTCAGATAATAACACGTTTCGACATGTAATAAAAACGTATGTATGAAATAAACAGACATAGATCGAACACTCTAATGAACATTGTATTATTATAGTGAACGAGAAAACAAATGGGGACAACCAAGTATACTTCAATACAACATTATAGAAGATCTTGGTAAAATCAGAGAACTATACAGTGAATACTTCATTAGCAAAATATCAATCAATTATCTCAGACTTGACTGTTCCTTCGTTTCCACACTAATCACTTTGAGATGGTGAAGAAGATTTGTAGCTCATATGGGTGATTTTGATGGAGTTTTGTTCTCTGAGCTGAATGGTTTGGTCGTCGAGCTTTCATCGTTCTTCTGAACTTCTATCCGAAATTAGAAGTTTGTGCTGATGATGTCATTCAGAAGGACGATGAAAGCTCCACGACCAAATCATTCAGCTCAGAGAACAAAACTCCATCAAAAACACCAATCACTTTCTGTTCTTTTTTCTCTTTTCCTTGATCATCTTAAGCCTCTACCACCAGGCATTTCACTTTCGACTGATGATATATACTACTTATATCTGTCGACCTCAGTAGCACACACCACATTACTACTGTCAAGTTTAAGTTCTACTAAGGTCAATTGTACGAATAAAAAGTCAGCTGCTCTTAATTTCAATGTGTTTTTATTTTTTATAAAGATTCTTTGATTTGCCATTCTGTAATCAAATAGGAAGACAATCGCGTCCCGGCAACACTGCTAACCACCATCCATCTCTACTTATATGGATCATAATGTTAATAAACATTGTAATTAAAGCGTACAGGTAATATGATTACAGTAAACAGTGTTTGTTATATAATGCCAACAGTTAAAGAACCATGAAAACATACTTTTAATCTGCGAACTATAACCGAATCATTATTAATATCATTATTTTTAAGTTATTATGTAATATGTGAGGGCACGGATTGGAAAAGTAAGGACACCATTCTCACATTTGAAGAACATATGCAAACAAAACAACTCTCAACCGATATCAAAGTCAGAATCTTCAATACGAACGTCAACACAGTCCTACTATATCGAGCTGAAACATGGAGAGCTACTACAACTATCATCAAGAAGGTATAAGTATTTATAAACAGTTGTCTGGTCATGATACCCAATGTCCGTTGACCGGATACCATCAGCAACACTCTAGAGGAGGCGGGAGGACAAATCAACTTCCATCTGAAGAGAAAATTAGGAAAGTGTGTCGAAAGTGGATAAAACATACACTTCGGAAATCCCCAAACTACATCATGAGGCAAGCGCTAACTTGGAATCTTGGAGAGGAAAGAAAAACAGGAAGACCAAAGTATCGGAAGCAGATGAATAGCAACTGGAAAGGATTGTCCAGAATCAAGTTGATTGGAGAATCCTAGTGAACATTCCATACTCCTCTAAGAGGGCTAACAGAAGTAATCTAAGAAATTTATCTAAGTTATACAAGCCAGCTGAAGATATATTATCCACTAGTGTTGGATGAGAATTCACTTCAATGTAAGTTCAGTCAACTTGATCAGTATCAGTGTCAGTGAGAATCTTCAATACGAACGTCAAGACAGTCCTACTGTATGGAGATGAAACATGGAAAACTACTACATCCATCGTCAAGAAGGCACAAGTATTTGTAAACAGTTGTCTACGCAAATTACTCAATATCCATTGGCCGGATACTATCAGCAACAGTCTTCTGTGGGAGAGGACAAACCAGCTTCCAGCTGAAAAAGAAATTAAGAAAAGACACTGGAAGTCGATAGGACATACATTAAGGAAATCACCAAACTGAATCACGAAGAAAGCTCTAACTTGAAACCCGGAAGGGAAGCGGAAAAGAGGAAGTCCAAAGAACACAATACGTCAGGAAATAGAAGCAGATATGAAAAGGATGAATAACAAGTGTAGAGAACTGAAAAGGATGGCCCAGGACTGAGTTGGATGGAGAATGCTGGTGAGCGGCCTATGCTCCTCAACGAGGGGTAACAGGAGTAAGTAAATAAGTAAGATCAGTACAATTACCGTTTATTAGTATAATAAGCTTATTTCACTAAATAATTGGCAACTACTCATAAAATAATTCTACATTATTGATGAATGATGCTTAATATGTTTTATATCATGAAGTACTGTAGTAACCATTTTGAGGTCAAAAACAAAAAAATACTTTGATCAATAGTTACTGAGTAAGACTAAGTATGAATGGAGTTCGGTATCAGTTTTGAAAGAGTATTATGTTTACTTCATTATCGTATATACTAAGATGATAAATATATTTTAACAATGAATGTAAATCAGTCTCAATGCAAATATACAATAGACAGTAAAGACAAGGCTAAATGTATTGTTTAATCTTCATGTATAAATTAATAACTGCGATTCTTCCCCTCGAAATGCAAAATGTTACTTCAGGATTCGGTCGCATCGGCACCTAAACTAATGAAAGGGAGTGAAGTAGTTGAGCGTGTTGACCGTTTTACTTATCTTGGGAGTCTCATCAGCCCTTGTGGTCTGGTGTGTGACGAAATATTAGCACGGATACAGAAGGTTCGTCTAGCTTTTGCCAACCTACATCACTTATGGAGCAGGCGAGATATCTGTCTAGCAACAAAAGGACGGGTTTACTGTGCAGCAGTTCGTTCCATCCTACTTTATGGCAGTGAAACGTGACCGGTAAGAGTAGAGGATATTCCTAGGCTACTAGTATTCGATCATAGGTGTCTTCGAAGCATTGCTCATATTTCCTGAGACCACCGGGTAAGTAATACAGTTGTTAGGAAACGAGTACTAGGTAAGGATGGCAAATCGATTGATGAAGTAGTGAAACTTCATCAGTTGAGATGGCTGGGACATGTGTTACGTATGCCCAACCACCGACTGCCCCGATGTGCAATGTTTCATGGTGTAGGAGTAGGTTGGAAGAAAGCTAGGGGCGGCCAGATCAAAACTTGGCACAAATCCATGAAGTCATTGACAAGTGAACTGAGTCATATTGGTAAGTGTAGACTACCTGGTTGGGATCCGCGAGATGATAGCAACCGATGGTTAGAGACCCTGAATGACAAGGCTCAAAATCGTTTGCAATGACGCAGGTGCTTCCACTCTTTGTGTTCTGCCAAATTCTAATCTTCTGAATTCTTCATGTCTCTATCTTTACTCTTTTCAAATTTATTTCTCTGGATTATTCTCCTTCAATAACATCTTCAAACCCTCATCTTTCACATTAATGCTTATACTTTTACTATTTCTAACACTATGGGATTTGAATCGACATCTGCATCTCTGTGCCAATGTGGTATGGCAACTCGAACTGATGTACGTACGTTCGAAGTTCAACGTTGTGACTGACTGACTGACTATATAAGAGGCATCAATTTCATACTACAGGAGAACAGAAACTTTTTACTTAGATCTTCCGGTTAAACGAATATATGATGAAAATCATGTGCAAATGATACTAAGTTAAATTACTTATTTAAACACATAAAATTGGTACAAGGAGTCATGAAATAGATATGCGCCACATGAATCATTCTTAGGGGACCACACCCGGAGCCTTTGACCTTAAGATCTGATCCACAAGGCAGTGGAGCATCATGAGGAGATGCAGTGCCATGGTGGCCAGTGACGATTGATTCATACGCCATTTGTTCCCTCAGGATACTGAAACCCCTGTGCACCATTCGTTTGGAATGAGGGTTTCTCAACTGCCCTAGGTGGACTTTCTGTGTCCACTAAGCCGATTAAAGTGTCGGACATTCGCATTTCGTTCTCTCAATTTCGTAAACAACAGTAGTGCCACTGTGGGAAGGCAGTGAGTAGGACTTCCCTGACAGAGGCTATATACGTGTGGCTATGTGAGAGCAGTTAGATGGGGAGAGCTGATTCTGCCCACTCTCGGCCGTAGGATGGCATTCGGGGGCGAAGATACTAAATGTCACTCTGGATTGTAATAATCAGAATGACCTGGGTGTAGCGTGGTAAATTTAAAAGAGTTTGGATACTGATTATCTTAAAATATCAAGATTTTGTTCACTATCAAATAATATTGCCTTCCATGTTGTCCAACTAATAGTAAGAATAATTTCTATTTCCTGACAGATCCATGTCATAATATATTGACAAACTTATATTATCTGAAGGGGTTTTTGTTGATATGGTTGAGTTCATAAGTCGACTGAAGCTAGCCTATCAATCGAAAACCTGGAACAACTAGACGGCCATTTCATAATACTGTCGAACTCCTCAGCAGAGTGCATCCATGATCCCACCCGGCGGGATTCTGATCCGGGACCTATCGATTTCTTATATACATATTAGTTCATAGATAGAATAATTCCACTTACTTTTTTTATTTGTTGTCTATATTGCTTCTACATTTAACATAACTACTTACCAACATACTTAGAATTCTATTGATCCAAGTATCGTCTGGCCTCGTCGAATCACTAGCAAACGCTGATTGATTATAAAGACCTAAGTCACACTTACAGTCATTATAAATTTATAAATAAGTACCAAACTTAACTTATGCCAAAGTATGAAAGTAATTAACGTAGTGACTTACAATATGCGCTAGAACGGCTGTAATTACAGAAACCACACGTAGAATGTAAAATTGCAGTTATTAATTCATACATACATACAACAATAACGAATATAGTAATAGTAGGTTGTGTGTTATTGATGTAGTATGTAGTAGTATGTATCATCAGTTAAAACTGAAATACTTGATGGCAGAAGGTTAAGAAGATCAATGAAAAGAGAACAAGAACAGAGAAGGCTTGGTGTGAAAACAAAGAAACAATAAAGTCTGAGATGATTGACTGATACCTGCAAAAGGAACAGTCAATTTTGAGACAATCGATTGACATTTTACAAATCAAGTATTTATCGCATGGTTCTAAGATTTTATCAAGATATTCTGTAGTTTTGTATTGAATTACATTCGATTGTTCCCACTGGTGTTCACGTTCAATACAATAGGAATAGATTCAAATCTATTTGAGGATAGCTCTAAAAATGGACTTCATCTCTCACTTACTTCCTATTCTACACAAATTACTTGTCAAGGATAATACATTTTCCGATGACTGTATGGTTCATGACGAATCGTTTTTCTTAAAAAATCTGAGTAGTATTTTTCGTCAGTCAGTAGAGCTTTATAATTGTATGTATCGCCTACACGAAATTGGCATTGCTTTATTCATGAAGGTCAGCAATTGATTGAAATACGCTTGACCGTTTTTTGTCTATTAAGTAATAGCTGATGTTGTATGTATTGAAGACATATGGCATCTGACGATTTAACCATCAACGGATTATTTTGTAAACTGTAAGGTGTATTTGTTAAGAATCAAAATTTACCTGCCCACTTTATCATTTACTATGTGACGCAAGAACGGTTGAATATTTTTTTCAGATTATAGCCTCCTTAATCTTAATTACATTTGATGATTGAATGAAAAATATCCCACAAAACCGACTTCATCTAAAAGAACAATAGTTAAACTGAATTGATCAGAATTGGTGCGGAAAAAGTACTGAAGTTCATTATCTACATCCATCTAATTCTCTAAATTCAATATGGGATTCAACTTGACTTTGCAACTCACTATAATCTCCTATATTTTATTAATATAGGTATATATATATTAATTTCCTAGGGAATTGGCTTGTGAGAACACATAGTATCGTGTATTGAAGACATCTTGCGGATTCAGCTAAGTTAGTAAACCCTTCAGAGAACAAAATTATAAATCTGATCAACTTGCATTCATCAATAAGGAATGATAGACAATGGGACTGATGCGCTAGGTAAAATTATTAACGCTCAAAGTATGAAGATAAAATGAATAGTATCGAAGAGATTATTATTTGTTTCGATGATGTTCAAACATTGATCGATTCATGATTTCAACCAAAAACTCAACAATCTCCCCAGCTTCATACTCTTAATTACCATGTGCTCACTAGTGACTACCTTTGAGAGGTAATTCTCGGAGTTCTAGTAAAATGCCTTAATCAATAGAGCTAATCTGTATCTCATATGAAGCAATTACCCATCGAAGACAATAGAAGATGGTTCTAAATTGATTGAAATTATACATTAAACACAGTTAGATACCTGTTCAGTATTCTATTTCTTTAAAACTTGAATTTGGAACACTTCAACGATTATGTTATGTCTTTTACCAGTCGTCATATAACTTTCTTTCGTCCTATTTGGGACTCGTCAGCTGGATGTACCTGCATCTCAGACTTGTTGATGTTCACTCTGGGACTCGAACCCAGTCCCAAATAGGACGAAACGCGCGTCAAACTGGATCCCACTTCGAGCTACTATCCATCTTTGCTTACAATGCTCTGGAATTAAGGCTATATCGAGGCAATACGCACAGTATGCACATATGCTAATAAGAGACTGATCAGTTGCAGTTCTACAAACATCAATGGGAAGATCCAAACAAACAATACTAATTAAATAACAATAATCAATATATATATATATATATATATATATATATGGATATGTAATCATATTACGTAATTGATTGGAGATTAAGTCCAATGAACTACTACTTTGTTTCTAACTCGTTTTAGGTTAGAGATTATAAGAAAAAAATAATTCAATAATTAACAATTTTACAACCGGAAATATACCATTAAATATAATAAATCTAATTATGATTTTTTTTTTGGGGGGGGGAGGGATTTAATGGAAGGTGGGAATTCAAATGGTGAATTTAGTTTCGGGTAATTAATTGGATATGGATTATTTCGGAAATTGATAGTTTAATAGCAAAAGTTATAATCCTTAAATTTCTAAGTTATTGAACTTGAAAAGTTACTTCTCCAGTGCTGTCTGATGATGGGTTGTTTTTCAGTATAGGGTTGTAAAGATTGTTGAGTTTGAATTGATATCATTAATGAATCTCTTATATCTCGAACTTAGACTCTTAGTATGCCGCGTATAATTTGAGTACTCAAACGCTAGAACCCTCTCAAGGCGCTAATGAGAAGACTGAAGAAAAGTTGAAGGAATGTTATTTCCAACACAGTGTCAATTATGGTACAAAACAGGAGTTATTAGCATTTGTACAATAGGAAAGCTACACCTAGTGATTAGGGGATATTCTTCCCAAAGCTGATTGGATGGAATATCTTTGGCTCTTTCTGAGCTTCTTCGAGCTTCCCCAAGTTCACCCGTGGACCGTCCTCACAGAATCAATATTAAACCACCGTTGATAACCTTGAAATACTGTACGGCCATTTCATCCTAATATGAGACTCGTCAGTTATGAGCACTGACGCTTCCATACGCGCGACTCGAACCCAGGACCTTCGGTCCCGCTCGAGAACACTTAACCACTAGACCACTGAACCGACATCCAAAAGTGTTAATATCTAACACCAACCAATGTATGATATTGTTCGACCGTCCATCATTGTCTTCAGTGACTACCTTATACTGATAATTATCATTTTCTTTAATCTAGTAAACATAAAACTGATAGAATTACGAGATTCTTGTATTCTAACCAACAGATAAGTAATTACTTCCTTTCTATAATTTAACAAATCATCACAAAATAATAACAGTTTGAATAGTTTGAAAAATCAGGGAGGAGACATTAAACAATTATTTCATCCTAATTTAATTACTTGTCAATAATACACATCAAGATTTGGAATGTTGAAGGGAAACGGAAAACAGGAAAGCCAAAAAACATGCTACATCGAGAATTGGAAGCAAACATGAAAAGGATGAATAGCAACTGGAAAGAACTGGAAAGGATTTCCCAGTACAGAGTTGGAGGGAGTGTGCTGGTGGGTGGCCTATGCTCTTTGACGAGCGGTAAAATGAATAATTAAGTAAGTAATACTCATCAAGAACCTCATTTGGAGATGAACTAAAAACATTTGGCTGTAGTAGAAAAAAACGGCATATACAGATAGAGAGAGAGGCTAACAACTAACCAAATGATCTGCTTATTTATCTTCAGTCAACTGTATGTTTTAGTGCATTTATTGGCATCAACATATAATGATAAATGTAGTCTTCATATTCAAAATATATTGTCTTTATTCATTTAAACTAATAAACAACATAATACATTATAGGCAAAGATGGATAGTGGCTAGCAGTGGAATCTAGGACACGCGTTTCATCCTATTTGGGACTTGTCAGCTGGATGTATCTGCATCTTAAAAGTGGATATTCACTCTAGGACTTGAACCCAGTACCGTTCGCTTCAAACGCCACCACGTTATCCACTTAGTTACTGAGTCCTGATAGCCACTTGCTTGTGCAATGAGGTGAAGTTTAAATTCACATAGTACTGTTGGGTTGAATCTTCCCATTGTTATTTAGGACTGTAATTGATCAGTCTCTTATTATTTATGTATTTATTTAAACACATAAATATTGGTACAAAGGGGCACTAAATTGAGTGAAGGCTATGATACTGCTCGGGTGCACAGACCGAAGCAGTTAGTTCTCTTAAACAGCCACACCCGGAGCCTTCGACCTAAACGTATGACCCAAAAGGCAGTGGAGTATCGTAAGGAGTTGCAGTCCCATGGTGGCCAGTGACCAATGATTGTTTCATACGCCATTTATTCCCTCAGGATACTGAAGACCATGTGCACCATAGTTTGAAATCAGGGTTTTACAACTCCCTTAGGTGGACTCTGCGTGTCCACCAACCTAGTTAAAGCGCCGAACATTCGCTTTTCGTCCTCTCAATTTCGTAAACAACACCAATGGTGTGATAAGGCAGTGAGTAGAACTTCGCTGGCAGAGGCTATATACGCTTGGCCATGTGAGAGCATTTGGAGATGGAGAGCGGACTCTCTCCTCTCTCGGCCGTACCCTTGCATTTTGGGGTCGTCTCTTATTAGCATATGTGCATCCTGTACATATCACCTCGATATAGCCCTTTCATTCACATTCATTATAAACAAAGATGGATCTGAACAGTTCTGGATTCGATTCCTACAAATGAACATCAACTATAAGATGATATCATTATCAAAAAGAAAATATTGATTATTGAAATAATTTACCCATTTAATAGATTTGTTCGTTTCTCATTTGACCAAAATGTAAAATTCATTGAAGGTGTTAATTTCTCATTTGATATTAATAATGGCTTATTCGATTTATTACGTAATGGGGAGATATTCCTTTTTAGATCTGAATCATTACGTTTTTTAATAATCATTTGTTTATAATAATCTATACGATTGAATGTATGTTGTATTTCTGGACATAATTTTGTTATTTTTTGACATAAACTATAAGTAGATACTTCTTCTATCCAAGTGAATATATTACGACGTATTCCATAAAGAAGTACTGATTCAACAGATGCTAAAGTACAAATAGAATATCATGGAAATAAGTTACATTACAATAATATATACTCTTTATAATAGGATGGAGTTTTGTAGAGATCAAAGAATCTATATAGCTATTGAAATTACGAAGTTATCCCAATAAATCAGTCAGTCAGTCAGCTACAACGTAGGATCAGGCACATTTATGCATCGGTCCAAGTTGACATACCTCGTTAGCACAGCAAGATGAACAACGGATTCATAGAAGTAGTTAATTTAGTGGTGGTAATATATAAAATAACGGTTGTATATAAGGACATAGTGTAGGAAGACATATATGAAGCGATTTTAATCTTAAGGTTTAAGGGAAGATAAAGAGTGTATACACCTACGCCATTGTGATCGATTCTGAACCATGTCACCTACAGTCTCAAACCATTGGTTACGATAGTCTCGCAGACCCAAACTAAGTAGTCTGAATCTTCCAACATGGCTCAGACTAGAAGTTAGTGACTTCATGCTCTGATGCCACATTTTGGTTGCTGCTACCTTGGCGTGGTGGTCGGGCTTGCCTATCGTGATGAATCAATGGAGATATACTGGCTGGAACAATTGTTCCTCAAGGTACTACTATGCCAGGCAGATCGGTTGAAGAGCGGTAAGACTAAAAGCAGCAAACCCTAGATCCGAAGGCGAAGTCGTACTGCTGTTTGTACAGAGGTGTGACAGCAGTAGGGTGTTTCCTTGAGACAACCAGCATAACAGTGATGCTGCCTTCCCACAAAGAGGGGTGGGGTTAGAAATGGTCGACTCTAAAAATGCACACCTCACCGTATCTCGCGGATATCCGTCTCCGGCGACAAGGTCCCAACAAGTACAGAGCTAACACAAAAATTACCCACCAAAATGTCGTATGTGACCGACCTCAAGCAGTTGTCTCTTGGGTACTGCGGTCACGCTCTCAGGTCACTAAGACCCCTTCTAATCCAATTTTCTTTTCAGGTATAAGAACAGTTCAATGGTATGAGCAACCGTGAAGTGATAACTGCCCTCATATCTCTAACAGCACTGAAGATCACTGTATTCATTATCCAATAAAGTCACTTATTAAAACCTGGAAACATTGAATAGATATTTGACAGTGTACATTCATGAAAATTCTGTAATTTCCATTACACCTTATACTGATGCTAATAGTTTGCTCACTAGTGACTATTTTCAATATGCAGTTTTTGGTGTTCTAATAAGAACCTTTGATCAGTGGAGTTTGACTATGTCGGGCGTATGAATCAATCGTTAGTCACGGGCTACCATGGGAATGCATCTACTCACGATGCTCCACCTCCTTGTGGGTCAGACTTTGAAGCCAAAGGCTCCAGTTGTAGCCCCCTCAGAAAACCACCTGCTTCGGTCTGGGCACCTTGGCAGTATCACAACCCCCACAAAAATCGGATAAGATTTGTGCGGCGGATATATATATCTGGTTCCCCCTTGTACCAATATTTATGTGTTTAAATAAATAAATAAATCTCTAAATTAATACATAAATTAATAGTGAATACAGGAGAAACGTGCGATGACTTACAGCAAAGTTTACCAATTGTTTCACTATCTTCATGAACAAAACCACGGATAACAGCTTCTTCCATAAGCATTTTTACCTTCAAATTACATAAAAGAGGAATAACACATTGAGAAATAACACCACACTTATTTGTTTAATGATTTACAATGTATTAAAATAAGTCTACTGTCACATGTTATTGAGAATTAGATTATTAACTTATCAACAAGTTTCTATCAGGTGATCTATCTGAATAGTTTCACTATTCTGTAGTAGTAGTAGTAGTAGTAGTAGTAGTAGTATTATAGTATGGTTCCTAATAACAGAAGAGGAACATGAGGAGATGTGAAAGAAAAGCAAAAGCAATCCAAGTAGCAACAGGAATGAAAGAACGCTGGAACTAGTAAGAGACAATTCAAGGAAGATGTACAAATAATGTATTCAATGTATTATTTTGGAGAGACCGAAGGTCTTGGGTTTGAATTCCATGTGTGGTGTCGTAGGTGTGCACTGTTGAAGAGTCCCACATAGAACGAAATGACCGTAGTTTTTTTTAAGTAAAACCAAATAACAAACAGATGACTTACTTGTATTTTGACATTTTTCAAAAGATCTTCTTTAATATCTTGATCATTACCATCATTATTGTTATGAGCTGTAAAAGAAAAAAAGTCGTTAGAAGTGGTAAGGAACTGCCTATCTCGTTTTCATTCAGTGGTAGACTTCGATTCTTTGAGGAGATTATAATCTAGATAATGGAGTTAGTCCGACCTCCGAGTTTTAGAATAACTAGTCATCAAAGTAATTATTTTATTACTTTATTGTACAAAGTATGCTTGTTTGCTTACAGATTACTGTGTTATTATTCTAGGTAGTGTTTACATTATGTATAAATTGAGAATGGAATTTGTACATCAGTGCTTTAAACATCATATACTTGGCAGTGGTTATACTTTATATACGTGTCAGGACTCAGTACCTAGGTGGATAACGTGATAGCGTTTGAATTGAACAGTACTGGGTTCGAGTCCCAGAGTGAACATCAACTCTGGAATGCAGGTAAATCCAGCTGACGAGTCTCAAATAGAACGAGACGCACGTCAAACTGATTTCACTGCCAGCAACTATCCATCTACCTATACAACTTTAAAAATTACACAGATCATATACCACTTCAATAGTGAAATCATAAAGATTTTATATACGTAAACAATCTTATTACGAACCTCCCATTCAGAAGAGGGTGAAGGTTGTGGGTTAGATCTACAGTGTCGGAGCTGCGGCCATGTATAAATGAGGAGTCCCATACTAGGACGGAACGAATGTGTGGCGCTTTGTTATTTTCAATGGTTATCCAACTTAGATCAGTTCATAGTCTCTATTTTTTTTATAGAATGATGAATCTTAAAGACATCCATCATTTCAAAACCTACATGAGTTTGCAGCTCTGCACAAACCTTTGTTTTAACATAGAATTTCTTTACTATTCTTGATATCTGTTCATAACACTCAGTTCGATCAGTCAGTCACCCCGTAGAATCTGGTACGTATGTACATTGGTTCAAGTTGTCATACCTCAATAGCTCAAAAAGCTGAGATTATTAGGCCAAATCCTAGAATAAAAGAGGTCGTACTGCAACGTGGCTACTTCTAAAGGTTATCTTGCTCTATGGTCACTTCGCTGAGCATTTAAATGCTCTGACGAGGAGATGTTTCGCATTTTATATCCCACCTATGTAAGGCCACACTTAGAGTACTGAATCCAAGCAGCTAGCCCATGTTTGATAAAGGATACTAAATCACTTGAGCGTGTCCAGTGTGTGGGGATAAAATTAGTGAAGGGTCTTTCTAAACTCCATTACGATGAGCGTTTGAAACGTCTAAACCATTTCCCCTTGTCTTATCGTAGGACGCGAGGTGACCTTATACTGGCATTTCGTATTTTTAATTATGATCTGGGTGTTAACATGTCTTATCTTTTTGCTCCCTCCAGCACTAATAATCTCCGAGATCATAGCAAGAAGGTTCACAAACTAAAGCTGGGGTCCCGTTTTTCTCATTCAGTGATCAATCACTGGAACGCATTACCTAAACATGTGATATCAGCCCCATCAGTGAACAATTTCAAGGAGAAGCTGAACCTTCACTGCAAAGCAATCTGTAAGGATTAATACAGGTTCATAACCTACTACCCTTATTACTGAAGACTGAAGAAGTGATCAGGCATTGAATATACGAATCCATAAGAACATATAAATTAGTGAAAGGAAATCAGATAACGTCATGAGGAATTCAGAATATCAAAATTTGGGGGAAGATAAAGATTGAATGAACCTGTTCCATAACTATTACTTACATTAATCACGTGGACTCTAACCACGCAACCCTGAGAGGATAAAAACACTCACATGTCACTTCATGTAATTATTACCATATCACAAAATGTGACAAAGAAATTTCCACAAAACAAAAACACATGAGTATATGATGATTGTCTAATTATATACAAAATTGATGAAATGTTCTAAAATTAAGGTTTATATAGATTCATATGTTGGCCCACACAAAGCAAGAGCAGCATATTTACAACTGAAGAACATCTGGAACTCAAAACAACTCTTTGTCAACCAACACCAAGTTCAGAATTTTCAGTACAAATGTCAAGACAGTTCTACTGTATGGAGCGGAGACTTGGAGAACTACGAAAGCCAACATCCAGAAGATACAAATGTTTATTAACAGTTGTCTACGCAAGATACTTCGGATCTGTTGGCCAGACACTATCAGCAACAAGTTACTGTGGGAGGCAACAAACCAGATTCCAGCGGAGGAAGAAATCAGAAGTAAGCGCTGGAAGTGGATAGGGCACACTTTCAGGAAATCACCCAATCGTGTCACAAGACAAGCCCTCGCATGGAATCCTGAAGGTCAAAGGAGAAAAGGAAGACTAAAGAACATATTACGTCGAGAAGTGGAGACAGTGGGGCGATTTCTTGGATTCGTTGAAGTTAGGCATTAACACCGTTGAATGTCAGCTCAGTGATCTAAAGGTTAAACGTTTGCGCGTGAGACCCAAGGTCCTGAATTCAAGTCTCACATGCAGGACCGTAGATGCACACTAGTGAGGAACCCCATACTAGGATGAAACAGTTGTCCAGAGCTTCTATATTTTTAATAGTGGTCTAGCTTAAATCGACTCATGATTTGAACTATTAAAATTGCTACAATCTCCACATTTATTTATATATTTATATAAACACAAATATTGGTACAAGGAAGCACCAGATATATATGCGCGACAAAAATCTCATTTGATTTGTGTGACGGCTGTTATGCTGAACAGGTGCCAAAACTGAAGACGATGGTTTACTTAGGGGCTACACCCGGAGCCTTTGACCTGAAGATCTGATCCACAAGGCAGTGGAGCATCGTGAGGAGATGCAGTCTCATGGTAACCGGTGACCAACAATTGATTCATACACTATTTGTTCCCTCAGGATACTGGAGCCCATGTGCACCATTGGTTTGGAATCAGGGTTTTCCAACTCCCCTAGATAGACTTTTTGTGTCCACCAACCCGATTAAAGTGTCGGACATTCGCATTTCATCCTCTTAATTTTGTATACAACATCCCCGCAAGTGTAAGAAGTCAGTGAGTAGGACTTCCCTAGCAATGGTTGTATACGTGTGGCCATATGAGAGCATTTTGAGAGGGAGAGCTAACTCTTCTCACACTCGGCCGTACCAAGGCATTTAGAGGAACAGCTGAGGCTTATCTGAATTAAGATATTAGTTTAGCCTCGAATGATTGTGTTTTTCTAAATAACGAGTTGTTTTCCTCTCAAAGAAATCGACAAAATATTGTTAGATCTTCATAAATACCGATAAGAACCAATTTAATTCAATAAAGACTAAATATATATTCTATCAATCAGTTATTTATATGAATTAAAGTGATTTATTTCTAATGTTATTAATCATTTAATTTGTTTCTTTTTACTGTTAATAAAGTCAATCCTTAACTTGATTGATTTTAAAAATTTTTTTAGGAAGATAATCGATCATAAAAGCCACTTTGGTTTCTGTCTTTTTCTCTAATTTAGGGAATCTAATTATACGTTTTTTTTTACAAGTCCTGTTGCTAAGACTGAAACTATATGATTAGATGAATATCTTGTGTAATAGAAGACTATAACTAAATATCATACCATTGAAATATTTAAGTAAATTCTAGAAAATGAAATAGTTTGATAATGTGTGGTATACTACCTGACATTAACTTTATTGAAAGAGTTTTTTTATAGATCGGATTGATTGTGGGTTTTTTTTGCAAAAATTACAAAATTGTATGAGGTATAGGTTTTGTTAAAGAATCGGTATCTAGTAATCATTTTTATTGTCGAGTAGGATACACATTTAGGAAGTCACCCAACTGTGTCACAAGACAAGCCTTCACATAGAATCCTGAAGGTCAAAGGAGAAGAGGAAGACTAAAGAACATATTACGTCGAGAAATGGAGATAGACATAAGAAAAATGAACAATAACTGGATAGAACTAGAAAAGAAGGCCCAGGACAGAGTGGGTTGAAGAATGCTGGTCGGCGGCCTATGCTCTATTAGGAATAACAGGCGTAAGTAAGCAAGTAAGTAGTTGTAGAAAACTCTATTTAGTTTGGCTGAAGTAAATGTCTTCCGTTAAGCATTTCTAAATTTTTGAGTTACAATTTTACCCGTATTATCACCAAAGAATTACTCTCTTTGAAACAGTGGATACATTTGATCTTTTTTAGATCTTATTCAGGTGTTTCTTGATGAATTTTTTTTGGATATACATTCCTACTGAACAGATTGCGAATATCACTTAATTAATCTACAATGGTGCTATAAGAGCTAGGATCTTTATTAATTTTCTTTTATTTTCGATTGGCACAACATTGTAGAAATGATTGTACTGTCCAACTGCAGGTTTTCTACGAATCCCTTAGGTATTTCAATCCAGTCAGTCAGTCAGCTAAAACGTAGGACCAGGCACATATTTGCATCGGTACAAGTTGCCATACCTCATTAGCTCAACAAGATGAACACCGAATTCATAGAAGTAGTTAATTTAGTGGTGGTAATATATAAAAGATGGGTTGTATATAAGGGTATAGTAAAGAAAGAAAGACAAATATGAAGCAATTTTAATCGTAAGGTTTAAGGGAAGATAAAGAGTGTATACACCTACGCCATTGTGATTGATTTTGATCAATGTCATATAGAGTCTCCAACCATTGGTTACGATAGTCATGCGGACCCCATGCAAGTAGCCTGCATTTGTTGACATGGCTCAGACTAGAAGTTAGTGACTTCAAGCATTGGTGCCATGTTTTGGTTTGGCCGCCCCTAACTCTCTTCCAACCATCCCCAGTACTTGTCAGTATAGCGCGTCGTGGTAATGTGTTTAGGAATGCGTAACACGTGGCGCAACCATTCCAGTTGATGAAGACTCAAAACCTAATCAATTGATTCGCCATCATTCCCTGATACCCTTCGTCTGACCTTACTATTACTTACCCGGTGATCCCAGCAGATGCGAGCAATATTTCTAAGACATCTGTGGTCAAATACTGCTAACCTACGAATATCTTCTACTCTTAATGGCCACGTTTTGCGACCGTAAAGTAGAACAGAGCAAACTGTTTCACGTAATCCATTGTATTTATAAATATCACAGAATCAAAGTTAAGAAAAGATCGATTTATAAGGGTTGTCATGTTTTAAATCCGTTAGAAATAAACACTATTCACAATAACTTCTAAGAGGTCGCTTAAGTAAAAGGGGCGAAATAATTCTGTTAAGGACAAAACATTTCGTACATTTTAAACAAACTATGTCCTCAAGGTTTAATAATTCCAATAAATAGCTCCAAATCAATTATATCTATACATAACGATAAGACAGCGCTTTCATCAAACTTCTGTGATTATGCAGTAGACAGATTATGGGTACAAATTACTAAGCAGAAATATTTAATAAAATTTGCGAACGCTGTAATATTTCAACAAATTGTCTTGGCTAGGTACAAATTACTTTCCTTGGATCAAACATAATAAATAAGGGAAGAGAAAACAGAATTTTTTGTTCATGCTTCACGGTAATGATGAGTGCAACCGCCTAAATGAACAGCACTGATTCTATAGCATCTAGCAAATGTGATTTCCTTACTCTGAATTTCAAACGTTGCCTCAAGATTGGGCTAGCTTAGTTCTTGATGAGGAGTGAAACAATTAAGTGCGTCAACCGTCTCTTGGAAGTCTAAACGGTCCTGATGTCTGACGAAGTCTGGGCCTGGGATCAGAAAGATCAATTGACATGTGCCAACTTAAGTCACCTCCAGTGTAGACGAGGCGCCCGTTTATCAGTCAGAGGATGGTTACAATTATGAACCGCCATAGCTTATTAAGGACGAAAACCCAAGTTACTCATAAAAGAAATACTAAAACTTTATTAGTTGTTTGAAATTGAGTCAAAACTAAAAATTTTGTTCGGAGACAATTTCTTTAGCTTACTTTCTGAAGTTGATTATACCGTACTTTTTCATCGGAGAAGTCAGTTAGTTTACCATCTTTGGTACCTATCTTTTCTCACTAAACGTAAATTTCTAGTATTCAAAATATTGTGAACTAGTTTCTATTGACTGTTCATTCTAGATATTTTAGACTTGGTTAAAGTCATAGGACTTTGAAATAATGAAAGAATATTAAAAAAGTGAACGACTTTATTTTATTTTAATATATAAAAAAATTGCGGGCGAAAATAAACCCTACATGCTAAAGTCACTAGTTATTCGAGGATGAAAAGTACTAGGAAAGTCTACAGAATCTGTCAAAAGCGCTTCATAGACTATTGTCAAAAATTGTGAAGAATATACGAGTAACTAAAATATGTTTTGAAGCTGTTTTTTGTATTGAACGACTAACCTGTGACGTGTCAACACGAGCCAACTAACGTGTAACAACAAATAAAGACTTGCGTTTGCTTTATTGATATTGTGATAAGTTACCAATCTAACAGCATAATAATGGTTACTTTTAAATTACATTTATTGACAACTTTGAATAAATTAGTCACGGTGTTGTAAAGAGTTAAAGATAAATAACACAATTCAGATAACACGAAAACTCGTGCCGATTAGTTTTTTAAAAAACACCAGTTGAAAATCAATCAATCTGTGTGCTATGTAACTCTAGAACAACATAAGCTGGTGTAGAGATGGAAAAAACATGACACTATATCAGAAAAGCATTCCATTGTTTATGGAAGAAAACTGAAACTACAAATATTGACTTTGCAAATTTTATATAACCGTTAGAACCAATTTAGTCCTGCTGATTCACAAACCGGATTCTCTGTTAATAACTCCATTTAAAGTAAAAGTACTAGAGCTTTTCTGAACTCCAACATCATAAACACTGTTCAATTTGACAGTGATTTTAAATTAATGTAGCTCGAGATCTTTCATATTACCAAACCAAGTGCATTCATTCTTGGTAACAGGGAGATTGTGTAATATTTTATCTTGTGAAGTTCAACTACTTTGAAAGTAAATAAAGTTCCATGAAAGTTTACAGGATTTAAAAATAAAAATTAACCTAAAAGGGTCACCGATAAAAAATTTCGCACCAGTTTCATTATACTTTTTGGATGTTAATTGAAATCAATTTCTGGGAAAATCATGAACATTGAATTTTTCAGGATCTTACGATTTATTATTTAGGTTACGCAAGTAATGTTCGAAGTACTATTACTGTGGTTAAATTCATGAGTACCCAAGCGATAGCTTAATAATAAAACTGAGTGTCAGAAATTCCAAAGATGATTCCATGAGATATCAACCACTTACATAGATCCAAACAGATCTGAAATTAATCCTTAAGAATGAACATCAGAAGTTAGAGTAAACAGCTAAGTACAAAGAGAAAGAGAGAGACTATAATTTATGGACGACCTTTGAGCGATCCTAGACCAACCTTAAAAGTGACCACCTAATGACTAGGACCAAATTAGAATTATAAACCTGTGTGAGGAACTAGAATTATGATTTACAGTTGGCAATCAAAGTTAGAAATTAGGTTTGGGGTTTTCACCACAAACTGATATCAGCTATAGTGCTTAAACTATTTGTTCAAAAGAATGAGTGAATTTCGTGGTAAAATCTGAGACCTGTTATCTTCGTTCATAAATTATACCCTCGCAAGATAAAGAATATGAAGTTGATCAATCGATTATATCAGATATTACATGAGGATGCTACATATAAATAAGAAAGAACATAAATTATGCAAAAGTTCAAGAGGCTTGACTTACAAACCTATCAGCTCGTTCTTACATCTGAGTTACATTCACTTTATTTGATCAAATTTTGAAATTTACCTCGACAATACTCAAAGGCTCAGAAATCGTCATATGTAACTTTTATCAATACCAACTAAATTTCTGTGAAATTTCAATACCAACTTTACATCAAGTTTGAGCATAAGAGTTGTATTAAGTATGAACGTTTCAAAATGTATCTTGAAGCTAGCTCACTGTTCCTAACCTCTTTATTCATCAATCAAAACACGTGCAAAAAATAATCAAAATGACGAAAATTGATCAGACTTACTCCCATTCATAGCACAAGCTAACTTTAAGGTTGTTTAGTAAGACTAACGGTTGCCAAGGTCAACATCATCTGCCTTCATAAGTTCGCCAAAAATACGTCCTTCGAAGTTGTGGATAAGAAAAAGAAAAAACAACTCGTGCTCTTGTTTCTGAGCTTATGAACATTTTTCAGTTTATCTATTCCTTTTCTGAAAGCTAGGAAGAATGTATGCCTTTTGGATTCAAATTACTATCAAATAATTGAAACGGTAATTAAGTCACATCTAATCCCTATAAACTACCAGGGGAATAAGTTCAAATTAGTCAATCTCTCTTTGCGCTTCAGGTAAGAAGTTCAAGGAAACGATTTATTTAGAGTTTTTGAGCTTGATTTAAGCGACTTCGTGCTCAATAATGAGATTATAAGCACTCAAAATTAAGTTCCCCATATGAACCATGGCAGCAGATGACAAATGAATTGGTTTAGTTGGGTGGTTGACAGACTATAGTGCCTAGTAATCAGTTACATTATATAATTTTACGACAAACAAACGTTTGTATAGTCTTTTTATTTTCAACAGATTATCTAAAACCTCCTTCTTAGTCTGAGAATATCCTTGCCTATGTTCTTTAGTAGCACAACTCCGTTGTTTCGTGTCAGGCGTTAAACACCACAAACTCCAGGTGCTTTTATCATTATTCTTTAACGGAATCACGAAAGAGGCAACCTATCAGGGTGACTTTAATGATATTGTTTATGATGATTTGAAGTATTTGAATTATTAGTGTTTTTCAGTCCATGTAGAACTAGATGAGCACAGAAGAACGTAATGTATTTGAGACCCATGGTCAGCGCACAATCAGATACAAAATAATCAGCAGTTAGTACAGAAACCACATTTAAAATTTCATTTCCAAACAGTTTATATAGCTCATTCTTCACCATTCTTACTAAATCAGCTGGTTTTAATCAAACATCATTCAGTGTCTTCTTAGTTAATGACTTAGAACCCTGACGAATATTACATATATGTTTAAACTTTTCACAGTTACAGCAGCGTGTATAACGAAACGTACATGAAATACGATCGTGTGGCATAATACATTGTAAAACATCAACGTTGATTGTCTATGTCGAAATGTTTGGGAGCCTGCTAGAGTTAAACAGAGACGGTGTGACGAACCAGCTAACTTCGAAGTCACACCTCACGACCAGCCTTTACGTGGATTGAACCATCGACGTATCAAAGGATCATGGATGCTATGCAGACTATACAACACAAAGAACGTTATTACAAGAATATATTAATTAAGGTACAACCACGAAAGTACAGAGGCGAAAGTACAACCACTACCGCGTGGGCCAGTCCATGGCGTATCATTGACTGATGCGCGTAGACTGTCCTTGACCTTGACAAGGATTGATGATCTGTTCAACATTCAGTGACCCAACTGCCGAATGATTTGGCTAGGGTTCAGTGACATTTCACTGACCCTACAACATGATGGACAGAACTAAATACCTATAGGCAAACGAATTCGTTTTGCAAACTATTCGCATGTCTGAATAAAAATCGAAACTTTTCCCATTAGAAGTTCGAGTTTTCTGCAGTACAGAAAATTTACCTACATTCAAACATAAAAATTCATGTTGTTTCGTAGCGGAATGACTAAAATCATTATTAACATTGTTATCAGTAAAATGGAAGTTCTTATCTATCTTAAAAGTTCTGAAAAGGATTTTTATTATCTGTAACTCTTGTTTAAAATCATTTACACCAGCAATCAGTTCGCATATCTCTTAAAAATAATTGAAAATAAGCAGATTCCCACAACCACATTAGGATATTTAAACACATCCGAGGATACAAACTGCATACTCACTTCCTCATTAACAACGCAAACAAATCTGACCGTAAAATACCAATTCAAGTAATGGCCCTCGATTTTGCGAAAACTTTTGACACAATATCCCATATACTTCTTTTGATTAAGATTGCATTGAAGGGTTTCATTAAACGACTTTTATTTTGGTTCGTAAGCTACCAAGAGAAGAGGATATTTTGTACCAAGGTAAGTAGAGCACACGCTAGTTGGCAGGTTACAAAGTCGGTAGTTTCACAAAAGACAATTTCAGGGTCAGTCTGCTCATCTTCACTAGACAAAGCGAAGATCTGGAGGTCCTTAAAATTTGAAACGGTTGGTGCAAACTCGTGCCAAAGATATTGGATATATATATAAGACATCCTACAACACTCTAATATTCGCTCACCACTAAGTATTTTTATGAACAACTGACAAAGTCAATTAAATGAAATAACTTTGTAAAAGATTTTTAAAGCCAATGTGCTATCATAAATCGGCATAATATTGGAATCACAGGCGCCACACAACAAATTTGTTTGAATGCTCTAATTGATTGTACAAAGACCACGAAAAGTGACGACCAAGAAGTGAAACTGAAACTCTGAGTGTTTGTGCACATGTTACATGCTATCGCGTATTTCGCGTGTCGTTATTTACTAGCTAAAACTAAATTTTCTCCGTCAGACGGCAAGTTTTCTAATTTTTATTCTTGTTACATAGCTTTTATCCCAATTAATTGGTATTTTGACGCACTTAGTTTTCATCACTCAACCATCCTTGATCGCAAAAGGAAGGTTGACGTCATCTATCTGGATTTCTCAAAAGCTTTTAATAGGGTCAACCACGCATGTCTTATCAAGAAGCTTAGACGATTGGGTATAAAAACCCCTTTGATTGACTGGCTCACTTCATATCTAGAAAACTAACACTTTAAGGTCAGGGTTAACTTCACTCTCTTTCAGACTATGGAATGTCCTAGTGGGGTCCCCCAGGGCACAATGTTAGGGCCTCTTCTCTTCTTGATTTATATTAACGATCTTCCTTAACAAGTTTCCTCTGACTTATTGCTTTTTGCAAATGATGTGAAACTTTGGAGAGAGAGATACGCAATCATAATGATATTCTGGTTCTTCAGGAGGATCTGACCCGACTTCAAAGTTGGGCAGACGACAACGTACTTGCCTTCAACAATTCCAAATGCAAAGTAGTCCATCTGCGACATGTTGCAAACTATAGTTATAACTTAGGCAACTCCCCTCTAGAAGTTTCCGAAGTCGAAAAAGATTTAGGAGTGTTGGTACCCTATGACCTGAAATCGTATGCAAACTGTGACAAAAACGCCTTTCAAGCAAACCTTGCACTGGTAACATTGAAGCGCACTTTTGTCCAGTTTGACGGTAGAACCTTCCACATAATCTTTAATAGTTTTATTCGTCCTCGTTTACAGTACGTAAACATAGTATTTCCTCCCTCCCTTCAAAAAGATAAGGACACTCTGGAACGTATCCAAGGTCGAGCCACGAAATCAGTCCGGGGACTCAAATCCAAACCTTATGAAGAGCGCCTCCAATCACTTAACCTTTACCCGTTAGAGTACACGCGTCTTAGAGGTGACCTTCTTATGACTTGCAGTATCCTTAATACTTCTGGTCATCCCCTTAAACATCTTCTTAAGCTTAGTCACAACACTAACCTAAGAGGTGACACCCAGAAACTGAAGACCCAACATAGAAGAATAGACTGTAGACACAACTTCTACCCCGTAAGAGTTGTCAAGTGCTGGAATTCGCTGCCGACTGAGCTAGTCCAAGCGACTTCCCAGGAGTCCTTTAAGAGGAAACTTGACTTATTCTTAAGGACTAAGGATAACTTATCATGATTTACCAAATTCATGTTTTCCCTCTATTATCGTTCATATACCTAGGTTTTTGCCTGGAGGTATTGGTGATCCACTGCTACTAGACACGGAAGCCCGTTAAGCGAAAGCTCCTATTCCGTTCACAACCATTTGAACTCTTTTAAGGATGTTGTTGAATATGCACCCATAGTTGTTTAGTGAATGTACGTTGAAACAATTTTCGGTTAAGATATTTTCGAACATTATATAGGTTGTTATTTTACAACCAAAAACAGTTCTAACTATTACACGTATCACTATTTTTGACGAAACCGACATATTAGTATGTAGCTTATCTTGAAGAAAACTATATTCGCAATAAATGACGCTGATGACCTTTTCAATGAGACTATAATTTATGGACGACCTTTGAGCGTTCCTAGACTAACCTTGAAAGTGACCACCTAATGACTAGGACCAAATTAGAATTATAAACCTGTGTGAGGAACTAGAATTATGATTTACAGTTGGCAATCAAAGTTAGAAATTAGGTTTGGGGTTTTCACCACAAACTGATATCAGCTATAGTGCTTAAACTATTTGTTCAAAAGAATGAGTGAATTTCGTGGTAAAACCTGAGACCTGTTATCTTATACATGACTGGTTCGTCCATAAATTATAGTCTCGCCATAATTAAAGATCTTATGCATATTGATGATTAATGTCTAAATTGTTCTTACCACTGATTTAATTATTGTATGTAAACTGTGAATTGTAGATAGTACTATGCATGTTGTAATCAGATTTTTCTCAAATTTCGTAGTACTACCTGACGTTTTTGAATTGTTTATTTGGTGCCTACAATTTCTCTGATAATACTAAACGACTGGATGAAATTGTAGGAGGATTAGTATTGTTCACAACAAGTAAGAACCAAATACATTCTATCATCTCTTATTCTATCTTTGTGGTGAATTTGATACGCATAACAAAGTCCAACTGCTTGTTTAATGTTTTTTCAGAATTGCATTCATTAAGCTAGGAAGCTATCCATACGTTTTCTGATATGTAACTTAAGAATTCTGTCAACTAAGTGAAAGATTTACATGAATCTCTGGATATGGAAAATTATGTGAACTAACAATTCACAAGTTGACGATAACTGTGCTTAATATTGACTACCATCACGTTTATTCACCTAATATAAAAATTGTACGATCTTTAAGTTTTCCCGAAAAGAGTACTATCAGCAAAGAACTTAAAGCGTCTCTGATCTCGAGAGGACTTGGCGAAAGTTCTTATTCTTTTGCACTATAAATCTTGCTAGTA